TTGTTGTATCAATAGGTGAAGTGGAAATAAATTTGAAATCCTATTTAGATACATAGTATTTTTTAGTTATATTAGTCAGAGAAATAAGTATAAAGTCAGTACCTAAAATCACAGGTGGTCTCTGTATTAAACATATCTCTGGATAAGTAAAAATGTCAGAAATATTGTCTGTTAAAAAAAAGGATATTGATTGAAGTTATGTCAAAACACTTGTACTGTTGAAATATAATCCCCAAGGTCAGATATTTTCTTTGAATTGATTGTCTTTGTTGAGAAAGAAAATTTATTTAATTTTACTTAAAAATCTAGTGGTCAAGGATGCTGGGGTCGTACTTCATCTACATAATACTGAAATACAAAATGGATTTCCCATTTTCAGGTTTTTTTTGTGAGTGTAAAAAATATTCTTGTTTATTTGTGAATTAAATTATTCAATAAGTAAAGTGATGGACAGATTTGTAGAAGAGGTTTTAAGTTCCAACCAAATTAAGTAAACAACATTGTTTGAGAAGAGTATAGAAATGGATGGTTTTGTTTGGTAGTTACATAGATGATGTTGTCAAGATGTCATGTTCACTAGCAACAATCTCCAGGGGTCCAGTCTTTTGATGACAACCCAAAAGGTTACTAAGTACCATACAGATGTTTAAGTGTATACAAACAACCTTGACATGACCTAAGACTGAGATCTTGGTACACATAACAACATCTTGTAAAATATTTGTTTTAAACTGTCAGTCTCCTAGACAAAGTTAAAAGATCAATAAACCTTTCACAGTCATGAATATAGATATAGAGAAATAGAATATATAAATAGTGTGTTGGGGAAATAATAGGAACTGTTTCCTGGAGTAGAAAATCTCTTCTCAACCCAAGAATTAGAAAATGTTTGTTTAAAAATCAGCCTTGGGAAAAATTTTAAGATCAATATATTGAGGTGTAGATATGGTAAATAGAAGCGTTGATGTGATAAAAGAGCTGACTGCCTCGGTTTGAAAATCTCTTCCATAACCCTTGACTTAAGAGTAATCGTAAGTAATTAAAGCGACTACTTGTCTGTTTATATTGGCTAGTGTCTATCATAGAACAAATGTTTGCTTTGTATAGTGTTAATCTGGGACCACTTGCTGTCAATGAAATAATGCTGCTTGTTAAATGACATGCCCCTTTGTCAGGTGCAATGCTGCTTCTTTTACATCATTTTTACCCTTATTTTTTGCCATAACAAAAACTATTGACATTTTGGGACCATATTACCTGTTGCTCAATATGCATTCAGAATTTTACAAAAGAGTGGAGTTGAAATTTTGCCAAGACTTTTTAATTATTTTTCTAGATTAAATGTCTGTGAATCTAATGGAGTGTTTTGAGCACTAGGTGAACAGCTTGAATATATGTGACATTTTGTGACATGACACTGTGAATATTTTAAACCTTAACTTTTGACTATAAGAAAACAAACTATGTATCTGTTACATAATGAAAGTGGGAATGGCCAGTCACCGAGTTAAACACATCATTTCCACCTGAGTGTCTCAGCTGTGGGTAATGAAATCAAGATTAAGTGAGCCTCTTGATTATCATAACATTGTCCCAGGAGTGATCAGGTCCCATTTAAACTATACCTCCTTGTTGAATATATCTAGAGGAAAGAAGAAGGAATTTTTAAGCTAGATTCAAGGTTAAGATCAGTATAGCCGTGTCACAGTGAAGCCTGATGGGAAACTCTACAATACTTTGGTTCAAGTTATCGAGTCTAGCTGTGATCTTCATAAATTTTCCCCTTACATGAGAATTCCGCAATATATTTACCCGAAAGAAAAAGTCCCATGATAATTAGCTGGAAAACCTTAAATTTTAATTTGATTAAGTTTGACTGTGTATATTATATACTGCTGTGTATGTCATTGAATACACATCCATCAAGGCCCATTTAACTTCAGTATTGTTGTGGTATACATTATTATTAAATACTTTCCTGTATACTTGTTATCAGATATCGTGTATCACTATAATTAATCACCTAGTCACTCTGTATTGAACCCAACCTAAGAGTTCCACCACTTGAAATGCCAAACATGTTAGAATATTCACAACTACTCAGATGTCTTGATATGATAATGGAAACAAATTCATTAAAAAATTCAAATTAACTTGGAGACATATTATACCATGCTAAACCTAATGAACATTCCTCCCTGTAGGCACACCCTCTAATGAAAACATACACTCCAGTAAACACTTTCCTGTCCTGTAAATACCTTACATAATGTAAACACACACAAATACCAGTAAACACACTTCCTGTCAGCACACTCCCAATATAAGCTCACAGATACCCCTGTAAGCAAACCCTCAGATGTAAACACATACATCAGTAAACACACCTCCTGTCAGCACACTCCCAATATAAGCTCACAGATCCCCCTGTAAGCACCCCCCCAAATGTAAACACATACATCAGTAAACACCTCCTGTCAGCACACTCCCAATATAAGCTCACAGATTCCCCTGTAAGCACACTCTCAAATGTAAACACATACATCAGTAAACACCTCCTGTCAGCACACTCCCAATATAAGCTCACAGATCCCCCTGTAAGCACCCCCCCAAATGTAAACACATACATCAGTAAACACCTCCTGTCAGCACACTCCCAATATAAGCTCACAGATCCCCCTGTAAGCACCCCCCCAAATGTAAACACATACATCAGTAAACACCTCCTGTCAGCACACTCCCAATACAAGCTCACAGATCCCCCTGTGAGCACCCCCCAAATGTAAACACATACATCAGTAAACACCTCCTGTCAGCACACTCCCAATATAAGCTCACAGATCCCCCTGTAAGCACCCCCCCAAATGTAAACACATACATCAGTAAACACCTCCTGTCAGCACACTCCCAATATAAGCTAACACCCTTTGTAAGCACACACATGCCATGTAAGCTACCTCCCTGTAAGCACACACACCCTGTAGGCACATCTTCCTGTAAGCACACACCCTGTAGGTGCACTTCCCAGTAAGCACACACACCCTGTAGGCACATCTTCCTGTAAGCACCACCCTGTAAGTGCATTGTCCAGTAAGCACACATACCCTGGAGGCACATCTTCCTGTAAGCACACACCCTGTAAGTGTACTTCCTTGTAAGCAAATACACCCTGGATGTAAATGCACTTCGCTGTAAGCACTCCTGCAACTTATTTATTCAGAGAAAGAGATAATCTGGTAATTGCTGGGATGGAAAACCTTGACTCACGTTCAAGGTTAAAGGTGAAAAATAGGGACAAGCCAAAACAAAAAATGTATCTGTTTATCACTAAAATGCTTCACACCAACATCGTATTATGTTGGGGCATACAGCATTACTCATATCCATCTTGTTCTTAAGCAAGGCTGTAATTTTCATTACATTTGATTTGATTCATGTTTACAATGTCAGAGTATTAAGCTGTATATTTGATCAGGTACTGGGTTACATGTGAGGAGACGGGGGGGGGGGGGTAATCATGGCTTTTAAAATTTTTCTAGTTTTACAAATAATTTTGCTTCGTTGTGTTGATTATCAGTTACACTTTGTTGTTGAATTTCAGTAACATTTCTCATAAATAGATTAATCTGTTCCTGAAACGTATTTTCAGAAGTAGATTTCTGAAATCCAAGTATCATAGATATAGATAGTAAGTCAAAAACAGTCTTATTTCAAAAAGTGATTCATACATGCTATTTTGAATGATCCCTTCAACCCAATGTTTGCCCATGTGTTGTTATTCCAATACACTTTACTAGAAATTCCTGTTGTGTTATGTCAGTTGTGACACAGAAATCCATGAAACTGGAAAGTATCAAATATTTATTATCTATAAAAGGTTGGACTGTTAAAAGGATTTTTTTAACTTGTTTTGTCTTTGAATTCAAAATTACCTGTTTAAAGGAGTTGGTAATCTTGTCTGAAATTCTTCATATCTTTGAGCTAAACCAATATCATTATCTAAACTGAATACACGCCAAAAAAGTTCCTATTTGCCTTCATAAGTTTCAGTATTATTGATTGAGAGTATACGTGTAAGCTAATCAGCATCTGGAAATCTTTGTCAAACATGTTGTTTATTCAAAAGTCTCTTTTGTTCCTTTTGTAGAACTCTAAACACTAAATATAGGAGAACTTACAAATCCTCTTAGGACGGTGTTGAATTTGAAATGCTGGTAAAGTAGTGGATATGAAATAAAAATATACTGGTTAATTAATTGTTTATGTATAGGCTGTAAACAGTATGTTTTCAAAGTCAAACCTCGTTATCTCGAACTCTTATAACTCAAAGACCCTGTATAATTTGAAGTATTTTGTCGGTCCCGACTGGCCAGACTTTACGAGTAAACAAGTAATCAGATAAACCTAAGTTTTCCCACGACTTTGGACAACCAGGTTCGGCTGTATTTTTTTGTGAAGTAACTCTTAGATATTGATCTGTTTCCACTGAGATATTAATTGATCAAGCTTTCAGTGGTAGACATTGAAAAATACAATGTACAATGATACGTAGAGGTGCAATATGAAATAGGCTTTGCCTTTCACTTCAAGTGGGAGGGTACATTGGGGATAGGGTATACGTTGGCATTTCTGCAAAACTAAAATATGGGTAAGGTTGTCTTATTGCCAGAGATGTGGTCAGTTGTCAATAACACAACAAAATACAGAGCTGGTACAAACTATAATCAAACAACTGTAAAATCATTAATTTTGGTGGGTTGTTTATTTTATTGTTGAATTTGTTGTTAATCCACAAATGTATATGTCCATGAAATGTTTGGGAGATAAAAATTGATATTGATCACCTGGTATTGTGACTGATGGATTGTGAGAGCAAGATTTATACCTGAATACAAATTCCAAGCATTGTTCACATTTCTGTGAAACTACAAAATTTAAGCCCAGACTAAATATGTGATTTTTCAGTATTGAAAGTTAAAAACAAATCTTTTATTTTACAGGAATGAAGAACCGTCAGACAGGGTCGCATGGTCTTAATGAGACGTCAAGTCGTAGTCACAGTATGATGACGTTGTCCATTGACTCTGAGCTTCAGGATCCCGAAGATGAAAACTTGTATGTTACAAAACGTGGAAAGCTCACGTTTGTGGATCTAGCAGGTGTGTTGACATTATAGAAACCTATATACACTTTATCTTGATCAGAAATATGTAAATTGTTACCAAAACTAATTTAATTTTAAAATTGAAATAAAATTAAAGTAGGCCCGCACTGAGGTTGTTGAACTCTGATTGTTTGAAGTTTTCAGGTAATTCTAATATAAAGTTTTCTTTGAAAGCAATCCAACCTAGTTGTGGCAAGTCTAGATCTTATTATGTGTTCTATTAGCATGAAACAGGTCAGTTGACGGGAATGTTTACCTTTATATCCATATCAAGTATTGATACCTTCTGTATCCGAGTTGTTCTGAAGACAGCATTTTGGGTCACTATTCTACTGAATTAGGTCGAGACACTGTCTGAACCAAGCTTTGTGGCAGCCAATTATATTGCGATCAATCTATACCATATATATTAGTATTTATTCAAAGACCGCCTTATGAAGGATGAAATTCGTGGAGTGGTTGGGGTGGAGTAAGGAATGGAAGATAGGCTTTCTCCTTCGTAATTAAATTATGACATTTTTTAAAGTCATATTTACACTGAAGATTAGTAAAAATGGGTTTTATATCTGATCATGAATTTTGGTGGGTCAAGGTCAAAGAATCTTGTGGATGTTTGAAATAATGCAAGTTTGTGTACAATATATCTTGCACATATAATGCCTCAATGGTCAGATGACTGATACATCAAGATATATCTTAAATAAGAAATTTTATGTATTTTGATTATTCTAAGATGGACCCGATTATCAGACACAAAAAAAAGACTTAAAAATTATCAAATTCCTAAATATTCACAGACATTCTCCAAAATTATTTAAGTACACATGTACTTGAATGAGTAAAATAACAGATATTGTAATGTCTGATCCCCTTTTGTCTGTTGTTTGGGATTTGTGTAGTGTTTTGAATTCATTAAATCCCTGCTTTGACATTTTTTATGACAGGGAGAAATTGATTAATGATTGTCAAGCAGTATAGAGGTTCTGTCTCACTGTTTCTTGGTGGGGGTCCATATTTGAGAAGCTGAGATTTTGGATATGAAGGATAGGGGTATAAATGCTCTCACCAGGTCAATGTGCCATATCTATCTGATGCATTTCATATGTAAATGCTGACTATGGGCAACAATAAACAGATAACAGGGAGTTTTAAACTTAACGTACCTTGTAACAATATGGCTAGGCAGATCTAAAGAAGGTTGACACAAATTCAGTCAGCATGGTAAAGGTTAAATTTTAACGACATAATGTGTTTGAGAGTGTGAAATAGATGTTTTTGTATGGAAATTTTTGTAATAAAAATCTGAAAACAGGGAATTCACATGCATTTGGGGATATAAAAATCACACTTTCTAATGTAATTTTAGTCCAGATTGGGTGATAGATGGTTATAAGAAAGAGTTGTGTAATACTGATGGTATACCTGGATAATTCTATAATGCAAAGTGTGTACCCACAGTATGGGAATTTAAACTCATCAAGAATGATACAGACACCCAAGCTTTTACAGACTGTAACTAGATGATATGTGTATATTAATTATTTCTATATAAAATAACACAAATTTCTCTACAAATTCTTAAGATATGAGGTTTGAACAAATTCAAATATGGGTATTATAGATATATGAATTTTTTCTCAGTGTAATTTTTTTTGAAATGGGTTGAAGACAAATCAGAAAATTCAGAAATCAGACCCAAGATGTCTCCTCAAAAGGTGAATACACAAGGCAATGTGTAACCTGTATGTTATCATTTTGTTTTCCACAGGAAGTGAAAAAGTGAAGGATTCTCATTCCACAGCAGAGACACTTATAGAGTCCAACAACATCAACAGGAGTTTACTGGTGTTAGGTAAGTACACACAGATCATTAATTCCTGATGAATCAAAGAAATAATGTTTTGGTCAAGCTGGATGTAAATTCCTGATAAAGTAAAGTGTAAATACAGGTCAAGATAATTAATCCCTGATAACGTTTAGCTTAAATGTAGGTCAAGCTGAAGAAATTCTTATAAAGTACAGACTAAATATAGGTTAAGATCAACTATAGACTAAATGTAAGACAAAGTGAATAAATCCTGATCAATTATAGATTAAATATAGGTTAAGGTGAATACATTCTGACAATCCTGATCAAGAAGACGAAATATAGGTCAAGGTGAATAACTTCTGATCAACTATAGACTCAATATAGGTCAAGGTTAATAAATCCTGAAATATAGGGCAAGGTATAGGTATGTACGCAAAGATGGGCTATTACTGAAGTCTAAGAAGGGGTCGTGATCAAGGTGAATATGCATTTCACTTTTAATATCAGCAAATTAAAGGTCATGAAGTGAACATTTGAGTATGCCAGGGCTCTCACACCCCATTTTGGGACTGGGGCCTGGGGCCCTTACAATCGGGAAAAATAGCGGCATTTTCCTTAGAAGTGGGAAAACTTGGGGTCTAAATTGGGAAAAAAGATACTATTTTGCATTGGGAATGGGGCCGAATATCGGCCCCAAACCTGGCAGATCGAGAGCCCTGTATGCTAAATGTGAAGTCAAAGTTAACTTGAAAAGATCTGGTTTCAATAAAAGTCAAGGTTAGTCTGTGTACAAAAATGTCAATAATTCCTTATCAGTTTTAGACTAAATATATACAATGTACTTAAAATCAACAACACAATTAAGACCCGTACATTTTCAATAGAAAATTCACCATTTTTGTTCCCAGTAAATACTTTTGGGGATACAAAGATGTCAACCCGAGGGGTAAAAAATTTTGGTTGTTCCATGTGTACCATATACTTATATCCAACATAGGCAGATGTTGGAGAATAATAGAATCTTTCATCCCCTTTGAGATGAGTTTGGTGGACAAAAGTTAGTAGCACCTTTTGATACAAATTTAGAGTTAGGTACAGTAGAGCCAAAACTATGTATAGAGATGTTTAGGGTAACAGAAAATCTAATCTTGATTCATGGGGATAAGATCCTGGAATGACAGGATTAGTGGTAACTGAGTGTTTGGACAATTCAGAATGTCACATCACTTGATATGTGTGTAAGTTAATGTTGGCTTGTTACAAAGACAGTCATTGTATCAATATAAGGGGTTTCTTGAAACAGACTATAATGAGCAAAAGTCATTGTTATTATTGATGTGCTCCATTACAAACATTGACCACTAAATCTATGATTTGTTATTATCAGGAAACTGTATTTCGTGCCTTGGTGATCATCGAAAAAGAGGTGGCCATGTTCCATACAGAGACAGCAAGCTGACTAAACTGTTGGCGGACAGCTTAGGGGGCAGTGGGGTCACTCTCATGGTAAGCAGGCAAAAGTATTAGAATCTTGTAAGTGTATGGGAGAAATGATATCTTGTAAGTGTTACAGGAGGGAAAAAAGTCTTGAAAGCAACATCAGTAAGAGAATCTTGTATGTGTATGGGAGAAATTGAATCTTGTATATGTTACTGGAGGGAAAAAAATTTTGAAAGCAACACCGGAAAGAGAATCTTGTATGTGTATGGGAGAAATAGAATCTTGCATATGTTACTGGAGGGAAAAAAATTTTGAAAGCAACACCGGAAAGAGAATCTCATAAGAATATGGGAGAAATAAAATCTTGTGTTACAGGAGAAAAAAAATATTGTAAGTGTATTCCAGTAAGAGAATCTTGTAAGAATATTGGAGAAATAGAATCTTTAAAGTGTTACCAGAGGAAAAAATCATGAAAACGACTCCAGAAAGAGAATCTTGTAATTGTATTCCAGAAATAGAATCGTGTGTGTTTGCAGGAGAAATAGAATCTTGTAAGTGTAAACTAGGAGAAATAGACCCTTGGAAGTGTGCAGGAGAAGTAGAATTTTGTATGTGTAAAGGAGAAATAAAATCTTGCAAGTGTACAAGAGAAAAAGAATCTTGTAAAGTACAGGAGGAAAAGGATCTTGTATGGGCATTTGAGGTACAGAATCTTGTATGTATTCAAACTGTCTACCACAGATCTATTCTGGAAATAAAGAGGCCTTTTTCAGCACTTATATTTCAGTTTAATTACCATATGTCAGAGATAACATTGATTTTTCAACTACATGTCATGCAACTTGAAACAAGCTTCATACCAGCTGGGATTTCAACCCTAAACATGAAAAGGCTGCACACATTTATTAACAAGTCATATTTAATGATGAGCTATAATGCTCCCATTCCTGATGACAACCTAAAACGCTTCGTAAATGAATCGTTAAATTTGTTTGACAAATGACTCATGGGATCTGTAGTATTGGATTTTTTTCTGGATCTTTATAGAATAAAATTACAATGGCAGTATTATACCTGAGTTGGGTGGATAAACTGGTTGTAAACTAAGCTTTTGAAAATCGAAAGTTGGCTGTTTGTATTCATTAAATGCTTTATAAATGACAAGATACGTCACAATTTTTTGTTTGAGAAATGGTTTCTGTCTGTGTTTGCCCTACACGTCAAGATTTAACACACCCAGCAAACACTGGAGAAACTGTCTGAAATATATTGAATTCTGTTATTTTGATATTTTTGATAGTTTTACTTCTTGAGGTATAATTGTATTGGTTAATAATTTCTTCTACTCTATAATAAAATACTTGTCAATATTGTATTGTCAAACTGCAAATCAGGAAAACTAGAGGCAAAACATTGATTTTATAGAACAGCCAACAAAACAAAATTTCCATCAATATGCATGTATGATTTGCATTTTTTGTCAGGAAATTATTTAAGTATTTACTATTTTCATGGAAAGGAGTGACAAAGTCTAAATAAGAAAGAAAATTCAATCTTACATGGAAAAATTGTACAAAAATAAGATGTCGTATTTATCTGTTATAAGCCTACCCACATCTATTGCTTTCAAGTTACAGACATAGATTTAATGTCATCTCATTGTCCTTTAATAAGCCCACCCCTGACATTGAATAAGATTTTGTATGCTGGCCCCCTGGGATTAATTCGGGACAAATACAACATGTAAAGATTTTGTTTTCAAACTGATAAGAATTTGCAGACCAATGACTGACTTACACATAAACATGTGGTGTAATGACAGTAATAGTAATACTGTACCACAGTTATATATATTACCGGTATCTGTTTTTGAAATGTTGATTCGTGTTTAATATAAGTATGTAGCTGGATATTGTGATACAGGTATATCTAAAGCACAATCAGAAATCAGGTTGTTGGGATAATTTGTCTTACTCATGTCAGCTTTTCTAAATTGACATAAAATGTGTGTAAAAAAGATACACAGCCACTAACTATATATTTAAATTACTTTAAACATAATTTGAAAATCTTTTAAGATTCCAAATGACTTGAATGAAAAACTTTTGAATCCTGTTTAAAAACGAAGTGATAGCAAACATCTGATCCTATAAACTGGGTAAAGAGTATGAAACAGTGGTTTCTCGGATGTGATAGGCTTGTGGAATACATTGGTTGCTTTGCCTTTATCTTTAGGAAAGTTTTGACATAAAAGTGATAAGCATATCACATTTTTTATCATACAAAGCAAGCCTAAGGGTTTCCTGTGTTTCCTGCACTACACCTGCCTCACGACCAGCCTCCGTACCTGACAACAGGTATTCATACCTGTCCTGTTCCTGTCTTAAGACCCTTATTGATCAGTCTGGAAGCTGTACAAATCTCTTGATATTGATCAAGTACAACTGTATTGTGTCTTTTCCCTTGTAAAGAAATTTGTTGAAAGCCAACTCAGTATCCTGTATAAAATCTGTATACGGCATTACATTAATGCTCTTGTCGAATTGATAGTTGAACATATACGTACAACTTATAAAAAAATTCATTGATTTTTATCAAACTATTAATAACCTGCTTCAGCTTGCTTTGGTTTTTTAAAGCTTGTGACAGTTTTTTACTGTGATAATTGATTTTAAGCTTAAGATTATATGTGCAAATATAGAAAAAATCTGTAGACAGAAAGCTTGCTAGGAATTTCATGAAAAACATAAAAAAAAATATCACAGCAATGAGATATATTGATATATAGGAATTGATTTCCTTACAATAACAGTGTTTTTAAATATCTTCCCTCTAATGCCTGCTTCCATGCAATACCTTCTTTGTATACTTAGCTAAATTGTCTCTTTATGACAAGCTTACATTGGTATACACTTTCAGATCCTGATTTGTAGATGAATGTATCTTCTTAAATCTAGGGAAAATTCAATCTAAGGAAGGACTTTTTTTACTTATAAATATTGCTGTAAGGCAATGTATCAGTGACGGTCGCCTTGCTCCAACTAAACTGATCTTTTTACATATCATATCAATCTTTTACTGTATCAGTGAGATTTAGTAAGTTTAGAGAGTATTTCAAGGGTGAATATTTTTCATTAATTATGATACTATGAAGATGAAATACAGAATGTCAGTCTGTTTCATTGTTTCCATGAAAACTATGTCCTCTTTGCTTCAAGCTCTTGGCAAAACTTTCAAAATTTGAATATTTGAAATGACAACCTTTAATAACGATAAGTGAAACAATCGTTATCGGTGACAAGAATGGATACGGATGCTAATTAAGTTTCTTCCTTCATTAAATTATTAGTGTTAGTAATCGTTTAGTCTCTTTAATGTTTTATTTAAGTTTGGGTATTATATGAGGCATGAATTGATCAGATGAAAGTTTTTAATCTTTAACATAGAATTGTTGAACTGCGAGACAATAAATTGGTCGATCAATGTCGTCTCATGTGACCACTGCCTGGCCTGCTCTGTTGATATAATGTAGATTTTGGAAAAAATCATAAGGTAGTTTTGTTTTGTGATAGAAACTGCAGTAAAACCTGTGTAGAGTAAGGAAGCCTTTAAAATCAGGTATATTACTGTAAATCACTTAGATTTTGGGAATACTTTATTTCACAAACTTAACTTTTCAGACATATTTGCAAATACATGATTTTGTGAATGCTGATCTAGAAATTACTTAGAATTTGCCAATGATGAGTTATTAGAGACAGGACAAATCAAGAACCTGATATTGGTAACCAAATCAACGTGAATGCCAACCAGGATTTGAATTAGCGACTTACTCTCTTCATGTACTAATGCGAAAATAAATCCCACTCAAAACGTTAGTGATTTACAGTATCCGATAGGTGGTTGCTATACACAGGATCAGTTAGTGATTTACAGTATCTGATGGGTGGTTGCTATACACAGGTTCAGTTAGTGATTTACAGTATCTGATAGCTGCTTGCTATACACAGGTTCAGTTAGCGATTTACAGTATCTGATGGGTGGTTGCTATACACAGGTTCAGTTAGTGATTTACAGTATCTGATAGGTGCTTGCTATACACAGGTTCAGTTAGCGATTTACAGTATCTGATGGGTGGTTGCTATACACAGGTTCAGTTAGTGATTTACAGTATCTGATAGGTGGTTGCTATACACAGGTTCAGTTAGTGATTTACAATAGCCGATATGTGCTTGCTATACACAGGATCAGTTAGTGATTTACAGTATCTGATGGGTGGTTGCTATACACAGGTTCAGTTAGTGATTTACAGTATCTGATGGGTGGTTGCTATACACAGGTCCAGTTAGTGATTTACAGTATCTGATGGGTGGTTGCTATACAGAGGATCAGTTAGTGATTTACAGTATCTGATGGGTGGTTGCTTTACACAGGATCAGTTAGTGATTTACAGTATCTGATGGGTGGTTGCTATACACAGGTTCAGTTAGTGATTTACAGTATCTGATAGGTGGTTGCTATACACAGGATCAGTTAGTGATTTACAGTATCTGATATGTGGTTGCTATACACAGGTTCAGTTAGTGATTTACAGTATCTGATAGGTGGTTGCTATACACAGGTTCAAATTGGTTGGCAATTGATATCCTTCATCCTCCTTTGTAAGGGTGATGGATCTTTGAATGATTGATTTTTTTTATTATTGATATTTCTGCCTAGTTGAAATTCACTTTGCTATGATTTTTTATTAAGAATCATAGACACAAGCAGTTTTTAATTAGAATAATTATCAGGGCTCTCTCTCCCCATTTTGGGACTGGGGCCCGGGGCCCTTAGAATTGTGAAAAATAGCAATGTTTTCCTTAGAATTGGGAAAACTTGGGGTCAAAATTGGGAAAAAAAAGATACTATTTTGCATTGGGAATATTCAGCCCCAAATCTGGCAGATCGGAGCCCTGATTATAGATTAAAATTTACACATTTTAAATAAACATTACTCTGGTTTTTACCTGTTAATGTGTATTTATTACATTATAGTGTTGATGGTTTAATCACCAGGTACTTGAGTTTGCTAATTTTCAGGCTTTCTACATGTATAATGACTAATAAGAAAAAACAAATGTCATTACCTTGATCAAACATCAAACATGGTGATTATTTATATATAATTTTATTTTAGATTGCCTGTATCACCCCTTCCTCACATCACATATCGGAGACCATGAACACGCTGAGATATGCCAGTAGGGCCAAGAAAATCAGAACTAAACCACTAGTCAAAATGGTAAGAGCTGTTACCCTGGTGTCTCCAGTGTTATGAAAGTTACATTAAACAACATCTTTCACATTTCATTTGAAAAGTAGTTCTGGATCTTATTAAGGTTTCCCTTTTAGATGTATCTGTTATTCAGTTTTGCAGTTTGATTAAGAAATCTATTAGAATTTCCTGGTAAATTAAGTGCTAGTGAGACAGGGACATTGAAATATATTGTACAAATATCCCCTGTTTACATTGGTCAGGTTTATGTATTAATTTGTGTGTAGTTCTGGTCTTGTAGCTGATTATTCATTTTCTTCTTTTCCTGTGAAGTATTGAAAACTAATCAATAATTAATATCTATATGATACAGTTTTTTATAATTCCATGCATATGTACAAATATAGAAAAACATGAACATTTTCTCTTCCTTCATATTAGGATCCAAGAGAAAAATTGATTATGAGTTTAAAGAGAGAGATAAAAATACTCAGGAACGAAAACCAGTATTTGCGTCAACAGGTAAGTTCTTTTCATTGTAACTTCAATTCTTTTTTGTTTTAAAAAAAGTATTTGTTAACCTTCAAAAATATGTTTATGATGCTATTTTTAGAAGAACACAGGTAATTCTCAAGGGTCAAAATTTATGATAGCGTAAAAGAGTAAAATTATTTTCATTACAGAAATTTGTAAAATATTATCAGTATGTATTCCTTGTTCAAAGACATGTGATATTGAATAGAGAACTTTCATATCAAGAAATAAGATGGTGATTTTGAAGTAAATAACCCAATAGAATATCTAGATAACACAAAAAATATTCAAATATTTACAGTTGGAGTTCCCAGAGAAGACAAAAATTGCCATGCAGAAAGAGGATGATGAAAAATACAAGAAATTTCTAAAAGAGCAAGAAAACAATAAAAGTAAGTGATAATCAGCTTTCCTGTATTTTCAGTTTCTGATACCCTTAAAAAATCATTGTCACTAAAAATGTCATTAATCATGATTTTAAGGTATGTCATTTTCTGTCCCTTTCTTTATCATGATTTTAAGGTATGTCATTTTCTGTCCCTTTCTTTATCATGATTTTACGTATCCATTATGGTTTTATTTACATGTAAATATAACACAATAAGGTGGATACCAAAGTATTCTGATAGAGCTCCATAGACAATAGGTATATAATAAGTAGATAAAAGATGGACCATCAATATCAGGGATTTAGTGACTTTGTCAATGTGATTTGTTGATATGATTCGGATGGTTGGGCTAGGTCTGATGACGGTTGGCCTTGCCATCCCAAACATGTCGAATAAAAAAATAGACAAAGTCAGTGAATCCCTGGTGTTGATATTCCTTCCTTTATCTACTTGCTACATGTAGATATATATGTGAATAACAAATTTAAAAGCTTCATGGGGTTTGTTATCTGACATCTCATGTTTTCTTCATTAGGGTGGCATAGGAAAGTTCATTACAAACTCTTGTGTTACACTGACACAGGTTTAAGAGCCTGTTTATCAACAAGTCTAAACCTGCCTACTTTTTACCCTCCACGATATACTAATGTTAAGGAAAACATAAGCTTTTCATAATATTTGTGTGCCATCTGTAATCTTCATGATGGTGACAGTAACTCAGAATTTCTCAGTGGTTCTGATGTTGATTACATAATTAATTAGCTACATCAAAGATAAATGATTGACATTTCCTGTTATATCTTTATCAGGCGGAGACAAACCCAAAACTGACCCCAAATCTGAGGAAGCAGGATTATATGAAATGTTACAGGAGTATATGATTGAAAATGAGGCTTTGAGGTAGTGTATATTTTTAGGAAATAGTTAAACAAAAATTTTGAATTTCAAGCAGGTTTGCTTTGTTAAAATGGTCTTCAACAAATGATGTAATTGAAAATGAATGGTTGAAAGAAATTGATAAAAGATGAAGCTTGGTCATAAAAAATTCATATGAATATGTAATTTCTTATTTAACATGAATATGTAAATTCTTACATGAATATGTAAATTGTCCGCATAAATGAAGATCTAAAGCTGAATACAGTGCTTTATGTTTCCTGTATATTGTGTTCTAAAGGACAGAAAATGCTGATCTGCATGCAACAAAGGATAAGATTCGACGAGAGCAACAATTACTGTACAAAGACAATGAGAAGATGATGAAGAGAATTGAAGATCTAGAAAGGTACAGAAAGGTTTGAGTGCTACTTGGTACCATTGACTTCTTGGTTTTTTCTCTCTGTCCCACTTAGTATAGGGTTGAACACTTCTGACGGCTCAAATATGTCTTAAATACAGTAAAACCTCAATGCCACTTGTTTGTCTTCTCTGATCCAATATTTGGATATCTCCCTCTTTATATCACCTATTTCCTTTACTGCCAAAAATTGTTTAACAAATGGTGGCAGTATAACTGGATTTCACTGTATCGTTTGGATTAAATTTCAGTACTAATTTTTTCCATTCAACTGCAGAAGTTGATTTAGTGTGATGTTTGGAGATTGTAGGGTATATATTGTGATTTTACTGGAAATGTGTGTCGCCATGTAGAATTTACAGATGTTTTGCGCAGCATGATTTATGGAGGAAGTTGCCATCTACCTTATATCATATCTCTGACTTTTTACTGTCTTGGAACTCTTTTGTATTGAAGATTTTTCACAATGATATACCATGTAGCCTTAAATAACTAATTATTCCTGTGTCAGTTTATAAATTATGCTGATATATGTCTATTTTTCTTCTAATTATTTGAAAATTAGACCAAGTTGTAGAGTTTCTTGTTTCTCAGTGAAAAAAGCATCACAGTTCATTCAATTTAAATTGCAGTTTACATAATATTTATCAAAACATAATTTTTAAGAAAATTTTAATTTTCAGCAATTTCTTTGGGTAAGATTTAGAAATAAGTAAAATAAGCATGTAATTTGGAACTGAAATTGGGTCTGTTTTGTGAGATGGTGTGTACTTTAGTAGGTGTTTTTATATAACAGTCAATTACTGCATGCCATTGTTCAAAGTCTCTTGTTTAGCGTTCACTCTGTAAAAAAAACCATTAGATATCATATACAGTGCATGTGTTTGCATTGAAAAAATATAATAAAGGTGTTATTTTGAAGGACAGAAGAGACAATTAAACATGCTCGCCATACTCAAGAGAAAACATGTTTTTCAATTCATTTTCATTTGACATTGATAAATTTTGAATTTCACCATGATTTGATATATTTATGAAATATTGTTTGCTGGAGACATTTCATTTCCTGGTAGAATAATTTATGATTCTGCAGTATAATGAACATTAATTTTATAGGTAATGAATGGTATAGAGAATAGCAGCCCAGCACTAGATATGTCAAGGAAAACAAATACCTGCAACATTGATTCAACCAACAGAAGTTACTGTTGGCTCATTAAGTAGGAAAAATTTCACAAAAAAAATTTAATATCGTTAGCAAGTATGATAAGAGCATGATTGTTTCTATTGTCCTAAAAGAACAGTGAATTTACTCCATATAACAGTTCAATAGTGTTAAGTTAACAAGCTGGCTTTGAACAATTTGGCTCAACAGAGAAAGCAGATGTACCAACTTCAAGTATGGTAGGATTCTTGATAGTATTATATGTAGATTTCTTGGGAAAGAAAAAAAAAAAAGAAAAGTGCAGAAATTTAAATGAGTTTTCTGTAATATGATAAAATGGTTTGAAAACTTTTTGTGAAAGTATAGCAATCTGAAAGAAGGCTTTCTATGAAGCTATATATCTCAAGAAAAAATGGTAATATTATGTGATAAGTGAATGAGAATTTGAATGTTTTCCCAGGAAATTTAAATCATGACTAGAGGCTAGTGCTAGCTCATGTAAGATTCATAGCTTTAATACTTTCTTTAACCACGTCATATATTTCATTGATTTCTGGGAAGTGTTTTTTTTTCATTTTTCAATCCATTGAACTGTTTTCTTCAATTTCAATAAACAGAACTTGTTTGCCCGTGTAAGATTTAAGCACAAGGTAACTAGATGAATTCCTGAAAGTGTTTGGAATTTATAATTTGAAATACTATGAAGATTATTTTTTGTGATTGAAATATGATTGATACAACCCTTAGTATCCTCTTGTTTTAAAAATGCATGATGAAGAGAAAAAAAGACTAAAGTTATTTGAATTCATTAAACAACATTTAGCACCATAGAAGCTTAACATTAAAGGTATTTTTCCCCTTTTTTATTGTATCCTCACAAAAATTGAACATAGTATCCTTGAAAATAACTTTTACAGTAATTATGATGTCAAAGGTATACCAAATAATATGTATATTTCACTAATTAATTTAGTCTCAGGATCTCAAATATTAATATTGTACCGGTAAGTCATTATAAAATGGCTGTCGGTTAATTTTGTAAGATTACCGAAGTCTTCATAGGTAACACTACTGAAGTTGAATTATGTAAGTAAAGTACAGGTACCACAATTGACAATTATAAGGTTGCTACAGTAGTGGTTGTCATGGCAACATACTATCAATTATTTTTTGGTTTTTTTTTTTTTTTGGTTTTTTTTTTTTTTAATGATTTAATAAATATTAATGTTACTTAGTTCGTGAAAACAATTTTGTTTTACTATAATATATATATATATATATATAAAGTTTGGGACAAATAATAAATATGTTGTACATGTACTAATGAGTTGTTTTGGAGCAAGGTTTAGCATTGTAGTTTGGAGGAAATCAGTATTTAGTTGGTGATTGTACAAAACTTTTTTATTATTAATGTTCTGTATGCTGATATAGATTAAAACACAAGACAGTTTTACAAACTTCGTAAGACATACTAAATAGACATGGCCATATGTAATGTTTATCCAGAAAATGATTTATGAAATAGACCATTTTGTTTGTTTTAAGTATTGTTTAATACAGTGTACCTTGAAATGGATATTTCTAGTACTTTAATATGTAATTTTTAGGATGTTTTAAGTATTTTATTCATAATCGGGGGGAAATTGGCCATTAATTTTGCAGAATCATTCAGAAATGTGACGTATTTCAGAGAAGGGCACATGTCTGGACAGTTAACATTTATTGCTCTGGCTGTTTTCGGTTCCATGGACACTTTCCTTACGGAAAAAGTGCTGTAACGATGCTGATTTGAACTTTGTTGTATATTACAGGTTAATTGGTCCAACTGCCTGGCGACGCCCACCAGTTGACCCCTACAGCCAGCCTTCGTCCAATGCTCCATCACAAGTTCAGTCCCCTAGACAGTCTCCTGCTTTGCCATATCGCTCCCCTCAACCGAGCGGTCAGCCTTTCCCGATTGGCCAGCAAGGTCGTTATCCGGTAAGTATATGCTCTGAAATGCTCGATACTCATGAAGTCTAGTCCTGTAGTCACCGACTGAGACATTACCCAGTAAGTCTGTGTCTGATATTGATAAAGTCTAGTCCTGTAGTCACCAACAGAGATATTACCCAGTAAGTCTTTGTCTGATATTGATAAAGTCTAGTCCTGTAGTCACCAACAGAGATATTACCCAGTAAGTCAGTGTCTGATATTGATAAAGTCTAGTCCTGTAGTCACCAACAGAGACACTACCTGGTAAGTCTGTGTCTGATATTGATGAAATCTAGTCCTGTAGTCACCAACTGAGACATTACCCAGTAAGTCTGTGTCTGATATTGATGAAATCTAGTCCTGTAGTCACCAACAGAGACATTACCCAGTATGTTTGTGTCTGATGAAGCCTTCTAGTCAACTTCAGCATATATTATTCAACGTTTCGTACCCAAGTGGCTGTGAGGTATAGAATAGTGTCAGTATTTCTTAGTGTGTTGTTACGAATGTATGAATCATTTATAATGGTTTTGTATATGCCAAATGCTGTACAATCTATATATGTCTAATCAGTCTTAACGTAGAAGAGTAGATATAGGACCTAAATTCAGAGTGAATACTAACCTCAACAGAATAGTTGAACTTCTCAGCCAATGACACTGCAGTGCAATAAAGCTTCAATATTTACAGTCACAAGAGCAGTATGCTGTAGCACCGAGTCCTAATGGGGCAACCAGAGGCAAGGGTCCCCCACCACCTCCTCCACCCAATAATAGCAAGCCTCGTCGACCCCCTCACAGACTGGCAGAACCCATCATGAGACCTGCTTACGTGTAAGTATTTATCTATCTGGCCCACCCCTAAGTTGTTACTCCTGAGTTGTTACTTGACAAAATCACTTTAGTGATAAAACATTACACATGCATCAGCTGTATTTACAGCCATCATTTATTTGGAATGGAATTAGAATGATGTTCCATCACAAAAAATATTTAGCTTAAGATGTGAGAGTAGATTGTTAACACACTATAATATATTGCTAAGCTAGAAAAAATTCAAAGTAAATTCGAGATTCTTTTTTACTTTAGTCTGATTGTAAATTATGATATACAAATATTACAGATGATTATCCAAAAAGCTTCACTAATGTAAGCAACCCTGGTCGATGTGGCTTGTATAGTGTGTTAAATATACAGTCCCTGCCTTTGGCTCAGTTGAGAGCCAGTCAAGTATCCTAACAGAGACCCAGATTTAATTCTTGGTTTGGGGCACTTAACAGGAATAAGTATTTTTTTCTGTTCTTTCACATTGGCACCCAAAGAAATGCCACTGGTTGTGGTATATGGAAACTTGGGTTGAGATTTAGGTACTCTCAAGATAGACACAGTGAGTAGTGTAAAATGAGTAGGTGATATGGCTTATACATAGTGTTAAATATGTTCTCTGACACTCAGCTGATAGAGCATGCTTCTTTGGCTTAATTGGTAGAGCCAGTCAGTTATCATGGCGGAGACTCAGCTTTGAGTATTTTCCTTGTTCTTTCATGCTAAAATAATTCTATTTTATTATTTCAGACCCCCCGATCACCAAAATGGAGGACCTGCATATGATCATCCACCTCCCAGCATGCCACCACAACACATGGCAAATGGACCAATCAGACAAGGTAAATTTTGTTCACATGGCAACCAGAAAACTTTCCTAACCAAAAGAATTTTTGAGGGTGGTGGAAATACATATTGCATGCCGACTTGAATGTTAGGTGCATTTATCCATAAAATACTATAGTTCTTTGTGTGAAAGGGAAATGAATCTAGAATGCTGTGGTTTTGTAATATTTGTTGTGTTTTCTGTACCTGTATGGAAAATCTCATGTTTATATATTTTATGAATTATTAATCATCTAACATAAAATATTCTTTGTCATTTTGTTTTTTTTCTTGAACGAAAAATAACTTTATTTTGATCCCCGCCTTTTATCAAGCTTGATGCCAAACAATTAAATGCTTTTTTGCAATTCTGAATGATCTATTTTCATAATCAATATCTTTATTGCACATTTACTAATACGAGAATACTCTGTCATTCGCTGACTTCACTTTCCACCATCAGGGTCGTGGGAAAGCAGTGGTTCAGGGACAAAGAGCTATATGTATATTCATACTAAGCGTAGTCAAATGAAAGAATGGAATAAAATAAAGAACACCAGTCTTCCTGAGTTAAGGTCCTTTCATTCCACTGATATGTCTCCGTGATGTAAGTGGTTAGATGTGCCCTCTAAATGCTGCTTTATACCAAACTTTTAGTTGACATTGATTTTGTCCTTTTTCCCGGCCATCCCTTTCCTCCCACAATGTCTACCCGTCTTGCTGGATTAATGGTTTCTTAACAATGATACAAATTAATCAGATAAAAGAATGGAATTAGATCTTTGTAGGACTAATTTTAGTGGTAGGAGTTTCAGCTTTTGAAATAAACCCTTTATATATCCACCATACTAGATTGGAATTCAGCTGACTCAATCATTTTCTCCATTCTGGTATACATCTGGAAGATATGGAAAATCGTGTGTGTCTGTTCCTTACTCAATTTAATTCTAATATATTCTAGATAGATAGAAAAAATGGTCTTTACTGAAAGATCTTCTGTGTAAAGCAGTACTAAACTATTCCTTGAAAAGAAACTGGTAGAATTCTATTCAAAATAAATGACATGTAACATTAAAAACACCAAGTACTCTTATGACAAAATGGTTCTAGAGTTTTAGTATCTAAAAATTATATACAATAGCAAACATGATTATATCAAGCTAGACTGGAATATCAGAGACATTTTTAAAACATATTTTTAGTATGTCTTTATTTCAATACCCTATTGAATCATTCCTTTTAACCACATAGATGTACTACTGGTCTTTTAAATGTCTAATTGTGCACGAGATTTTTTATTGACTGTTTAAATAATTGTATCAGAGTGTACGAGCTAGAATTTAAAACAAAAGTTTTATTCGTTCATTAATGCAATGTTGAAAACACAATGAAATATTGATATTTTAGAATCTTGTAAGTATTATAACAAATGTTGCTGTGTATTTACTCGTATTCAGACAGCAACAATTCCATAACGGGCAAAAAGCGCTCAAAAAAGAATGCTTCCTGACATAACCTACCAAGGGGAGGTAAATCTTACTAGAAAATGCACACAAAAGATTATTTTCATATTGTCACTGTATATATTTGGAATGTAAACAGTAATTGATACGTGGTGAAATACATATTGTAACCTCTTCATTTCATCTTGTGAAATATTGTACCTATATCCATTATCATGTGCACCATCACAAATACAAATAAACATGTGAAGTCTTTTAGGCCAAGCCAAAACCTCAATTTGTTTCGATATGTTCAACATTTTCTCTGTGTCAGTGTCTTTGTGTTAGATTTATTATAGAATATATTAACTTTCATATCTGATTTCAAGGCAAAACCTTTCCTTTGTGTTGTTGCATATGTTACTATGTTAACCAGTAGCTCAATTTGTGATGCCTGCATGTTGTTTTTTTGTGTTATAGGCTGTATTCACATGTCCTCATAACTGCTTATCTCTTATATCCTTTTCAGCAAATATTCTTGTAGCCATTTCTTTTGATTCTCTCCTATGACCTGTAGTGTATTGCTGCCATCTCCTTTATCCTGTACAACTGAATCATTTTTTAAAAATCATTCTCTTCTATTTCCAAATGTCTTTTCGCTCTAAGATGTCTATGATGTCCTACTGACTTCCTCTTTATTCTGGCTGTATTGCTTTCATCTCAGATGTCCTTGGATCTCTTTCATCTCAAATATGCTCTGTCTCTAATACTCAACAGGGACGCGACAGCTCTGTCACTGAATAGTGTTGGCCTATGTAACCACAGGTGAAGATCTGAGGTGCGTGGTTTGACACTCTCTACCTGTGGCACTTAAAAATTTCTCAGGAAGCTGAAAAACAGATTAGTCTATGCTAATATGGTCATGTCCTTGGGTAAGACACATACTTTCATTGCTCTGGATGAAGCGATAAGGCTTCCATAAGTTGTTCAGTAAGTTTATTAACTGCTACTTCAAGGAGACCCTGTCTCAAAGTCTTTTTTGGTATTGCTGTCTTTCAATAGACTTTTACACTTTAATCTCTTTCTGGACATTTCTGTTTCCTTAATTCTGTAGCTCCTCTATTCTGATACATTGTGTTCTGTCTATAAATTGTTTCACTAAAAATGCCAAGTCTGTTATCTTTCTCCTTTCATTTAGTGTCAGTAATCCATTGCATGAAACCACTCCCCAAGATAAATGTTTGTGTGTTGTATCCTCCTTATTGGAAATCGTTTTATTTGTATGTTCTGAAATAAACAATGAACCAATATACAGTGTATATATTTAAAGTATACAAGGTACATTTGTATCTTTGATTTAAGTGAAAGGATATACAATGTGAAGGTAACTTCATAATTCTTATCTAAAACAATATGTTTCGGTTTCCAGAAATTGTTTTACAAAGTTACATTAAAGAAATAATATAAAGGTGTTTTTATTTGATCTTTTTGCTGTTTTATTCCTTTTTGCAAAAAATGGAAAAATTTAAAGCTCCTGCATACCACCTGTCTTTGCATGTATCCATTTGTATAATGCTTTAGAAGATATATTTCTCACGTTTTTGTATTATGTATCTATATATCGTTCTGCTGACTTGGTAGTTTTATTGATAATTTGTAGTATTTTTCAAAATATAAGACTATAACATACCATGTATGGTTTTTTTTTTCTTTCTAACAATTTTGATAAGGTATGAATATAAAACAAAACAGAATATATGGAATTGTCAGCTTTTGTCAAAAAATGAACTTGACTGTTTCCCAGTGTGTTCAGGTGAATCTTAGTAGAGACATCTTTTTTAAACAATAATACAGCCAATATTTATTCATTTTTTGATAAATTTGAAGTCCAGGAATTTTTTTGTCTGTTTAAGATAATGATTGGTGTGTTCTATAAAAATGTTGTTTTGTTTGTGCGGTAGATTTGAAAATACCAAGAAAATTTCATGATTGAGACAATCTAAATTTACTCTTATGATATGTTTAAATACATGTATAAACAGTTTTTAATAATATGATTATCTCCCTTTGGATACTGATTTGGTTATCTCCCTTTACAGAATCACCAGCAAGGATGGACAGCCGGGCTGCTTCCCAATTATCTACTGCAGGTATGCAGTCTTGCACAGGAAAACTTAGCTCATTTATGTAAACTAAAGTATTTATCCATGCAATGTACCTGAAATAATTACACATTGTACATCAGGAGTTTTTTCATCATAGTATTCTAATCATCATAACTACATCATGAATGTTTACTGAAGGTGTTTCGAGATATTGTGACCAAAGTCAGTTTTAATGAATAACGTGTGTTGGTGGTAAGTTCTGGTATATGTTTTCATTAATCACTTCTATCTTATTTTTTTCTCTCACAGAATCAGTGCGTTCCTTGAACGAGAAATTAAAACAAGACCTCATTGAACTGGATGGAGAAATAGCTTACCAACACAATATGAACCAGAGGACTAGGTCTAGTATGTATGGATCCCAGGCTTCCGTTCGGTCTGGACCCCGGTGACAGGCCTCAAATCATGACTTAATCTTCCATACAACCAAATCAGTGTCTTAAATGTACAGCTTCAGGGCCATGTGAATACACCTCCTTTGTAGGGGTCACATGTACAGCTTCAGGACCATGTGGATAACTCTCTTTTGTAAGGGTCACATATACAGCTTCAGGGTCAATAAAGTAGATTATCATGTCAGCGCCTTGAGAATAGGCCTCCTCTGTAGGGGTTAAATATATACATTGTACAGTTGTAGGGCTAATGATGTGGAAAACTGCTGCAGTTTCATATGAGTGGATAGCTACAGGTCTCTTGTTTTCTACAGCAACAGTCCCATGAATATGGGCAATGCTAACAGACCTTTTTCTGGGTCGCCACACATGAACTGATGAGGATGTGGGTAGACCATTAAGACCAGGATCAGTATGTACATCTGCAGGGCCTAAGGAATTGGTCTTGGAACAGACCAGGAGCCACAAGTACATCCACAGGGCTGAATTCAGAAAAGGCATGATACTGTGTACTTGCTGTTTTCAAGTTCAAATATATGTGTATATCAATTACCTAATGTTGACTATCTTAATTGGAGAACATTTTCAAAGCCCATAGATAAAGTCCATGTCCATAGGCTTCAACATCAAATACAACTGGTATTCCTATTTTCAGTTGGTCTTTACAAAACATTGAACATTGGAGGGCATTTCCATACTTCTGAAAATCTTTAGAAAATATATCTAAAATAATGAGTTTTATTTATTTATTCATTGCAAATATTGTTATCAAACAGACAAAAAACCAAATGAAAGTAAACCTGCATTTTGTAATGGCTTAATGTTGAAACCAATATATTCCATATTGAAGTCAAATTGTGTTAAATTCCGTCCAAACTCAATGTCTCATCTTGTTTAATTTAATTTTCTTATACAATATGTATCTCTTATGGTACAGAAATACATTATCTTACACATTATATATCTCTAATAGTACAGAGATCTCTAATAATACAGAAATACATTATCTTACACATTATGTATCTCTAATAGTACATTATCTTACACATTATGTGTCTCTAATAGTACATTATCTTACACATTATGTATCTCTAATAGTACATTATCTTACACATTATGTATCTCTAATAGTACAGAGATCTCTAATAATACAGAAATACATTATCTTACACATTATGTATCTCTAATAGCACAGATACCTTATCTTACACATTATGTATCTCTGAGGAACAGTTAAACATTCTCTTATTCATTTATATACTGTGTAGCATGATATGTTTGAGATACATAATTGAAATCATATGAGATAATCCCATTAGTTCTGATACATGTACTTTAATTTTACTGACTTTTCCGTTTAAATGAAATGGGTCTTTAAGGATGGTTTTATTTGAGTATAACAATTATGATTTACAAAATTAAAAGGCAGTAAACAGTATATCAAACAAAACAAATTGTAAAGTGATCAGTGAGATTATTATGAATGCCATGTCTGTGTGTTAAAACTAAGTCTGCTACTGTGGAATCACTCATTTACATGGGGGGGTTTGTTTTCATTTCTTGGGTATTCATAATCAACCAGTTGATATGTTCCCAAACTATTGAAATAAGTATAAGTAGATGTATTGAGCTAAACTTAGCCACAAGATTAAGTGTGAACCGAAGAGTAATTTTCATATTAAATTATAAAAAACAAACAAAAATAGAGACTCAGTATATCTTTATTTTGCAGTATGATAGATGTTTGGAAGGGTCCACATTCTATGAATGCTATATTGTATGAGTGTGATCAGAATATTGATTATAACCTACCACTATACTATAGAGATAGAATTTCATGTCAAGTCTATAGTTTAAGTGTTTGTCTGGTATTTCATGTCAAGTCTATAGTTTAAGTGTTTGTCTGGTATATCATGTCAAATCTATAGTTTAAGTATGTGTCTGGTATTTCATGTCAAGTCTATAGTTAAAGTATGTGTCTGGTATTTCATGTCAAGTCTATAGTTTAAGTGTTTGTCTGGTATATCATGTCAAGTCTATAGTATAAGTATGTGTCTGGTATTTCATGTCAAGTCTATAGTTCTATAGTTTAAGTGTTTGTCTGGTATATCATGTCAAGTCTATAGTTTAAGTGTTTGTCTGGTATTTCATGTCAAGTCTATAGTTTAAGTGTTTGTCTGGTATTTCATGTCAAGTCTATAGTTTAAGTGTTTGTCTGGTATATCATGTCAAGTCTATAGTATAAGTATGTGTCTGGTATTTCATGTCAAGTCTATAGTCATGTCAAGTCTATAGTATAAGTGTTTGTCTGGTATTTCATGTCAAGTCTATAGTTTAAGTGTTTGTCTGGTATTTCATGTCAAGTCTATAGTTTAAGTGTTTGTCTGGTATATCATGTCAAGTCTATAGTATAAGTATGTGTCTGGTATTTCATGTCAAGTCTATAGTTTAAGTGTGTGTCTGGTATTTCATGTCAAGTCTATAGTTTAAGTATGTGTCTGGTATTTCATGTCAAGTCTATAGTTTAAGTGTTTGTCTGGTATATCATGTCAAATCTATAGTATAAGTATGTGTCTGGTATTTCATGTCAAATCTATAGTTTATGTGTCTGGTATTTCATGTCAAGTCTATAGTTTAAGTATGTGTCTGGTATTTCATGTCAAGTCTATAGTTTAAGTGTTTGTCTGGTATATCATGTCAAGTCTATAGTTTAAGTGTTTGTCTGGTATTTCATGTCAAGTCTATAGTTTAAGTGTTTGTCTGGTATTTCATGTCAAGTCTATAGATTAAGTGTTTGTCTGGTATATCATGTCAAGTCTATAATTTAAGTGTTTGTCTGGTATTTCATGTCAAGTCTATAGTTTAAGTATGTGTCTGGTATTTCATGTCAAGTCTATAGTTTAAGTATGTGTCTGGTATTTCATGTCAAGTCTATAATTTAAGTATGTGTCTGGTATTTCATGTCAAGTCTATAGTTTAAGTGTTTGTCTGGTATTTCATGTCAAATCTATAGTTTAAGTATGTGTCTGGTATATCATGTCAAGTCTATAATTTAAGTATGTGTCTGGTATTTCATGTCAAGTCTATAATTTAAGTATGTGTCTGGTATTTCATGTCAAATCTATAGTTTAAGTATGTGTCTGGTATTTCATGTCAAATCTATAGTTTAAGTATGTGTCTGGTATTTTATGTCAAATCTATAGTTTAAGTGTTTGTCTGGTATTTCATGTCAAATCTATAGTTTAAGTGTGTGGATTAGAAATGTATGAATTTTACTATATTGTAATTTATTTATTATTTTTAATTTGAACATATCACTACATGTGATCTGATCTTAAGTCCGTCCTTTGTTTCTGAGATTGATGAATCTGAACACACACATTGAAGTATCCCTAAGGTTACAATCAGAGCTGTATATAGTGAATAATTCTCAAAATTTCAAACAGTGTTTCAGTCAGAGTTAAAATGTAAAAATGACTGAAAGAAGTACGAAAGGGGAACAAAGCTTAATTGTACAATTGGTGATATTTATTTTTGATGCAATAATTACAAGAAGCATTTCACAATAATATTACATTTCATGAACTGTGTTTATGTTTTGATTATTTTAAATATCTTACTTTGTGACTGAATGCTACTAAAAACCTTGTAATAATGATTTATGCAGTTACTTACATTTGCTGAAGATTTGAACTCCAGATTGTGTCCTATTGTGAATGAGTGTAAATAAAATTAGTTAAATGGAGAGAGCAAAAACACGCTTTACTGAAACACTTAACAGTAGAGAGGTATTGCACCAGTACAGAGCTAGACAAACATGCTGTAGTTTTATATCATGAATGTTCCAGTCAGTTTTAGTTAGTATTAAGAAACAAAGTTGAAAACACAAACATCAAATCTAAGCAACAAGTTCCTTATTACTTAAAATTTAGATGTTATTCAAAACACCAATATATACTCATTACAGAATATTAAATCAGATAAAAAGAAAAAGAATTTTTTTACCCCATTGTGTGATGAAGGTGATCGTATAGTCATTGTAACGTCACAATCAAATCTTCTGGTTGTGTTATAAGAACTTATAATCTGTTTAATCAGAAAATGTATTCTAAATTAATTATGATTTTATATGGAATTATCAATATTAGCAAGTTTAAGCTGGTATACTACATATATTTGAAATATTGTTGACAAAAAAGGACATCTAAACCCAGAGTCGCTGAATACATGTGGGTTTTGTTTATGATTGTATCTCAGGATTGATGCCTAGTTATTAGGAGTAAGGTATCGGTGGTTGTCCAGCATCATAGGGTCTCATACAGGTCTCAAAAGTTCCTTTTGTCTTAGAGCTAACATATTTGATGTGTTCTTGGGATAACCTGTATTCCCATTTGGGTAAAGTCTTATAGCAGCCTATTTTTTAACTGCAGCTTGGAAACAAAAATTTATTTTGAAACATTTTTCTCAGTGACTGGAGTCATGTCTGAGGCAGGTACCAGGACGTGCCGAAACTTTTGAAAATAACATAGAAAATTTATTAAAGAATTACTTTTCAAAGAGTACTTTTATGTATCTGCAAGACATGATTTGTGAATTAAGTCCTCATATGTCATGTCAAGAATACACTCAAATCAAAGATGCTATGGTTTCTTTTTATAATCAATCTCATATTTTTAACTTAACATGTACATATATCTTAATCTTTTACTGAACAATACACGCCTACATTTAGATTTTCATTTCATTTCAAATTTGTGAGGGTTATCTGATATTATTCTCAAGTATAACATCAAGTTATTCAGGAAAATGTTCAGTTTTCTCTAATAAAGTGTGATTTTGCGTTATATACCAGAATACAATAAAATGTATAAGATTAATATTTCCATTTAGATTGATCTTTAAACTTGTGCATTGAAGTCTGTGTTATTCATCACATTGTGTTAGAACATAATGTTCACATGTTGACATGGTAAAACACAACTTTTCAATTACTATGTCGGATGTAGAAAGTTGTAATGATTCAAAATTTTGGTCACTGAATTATATCATCAAAACAGGCAATATTTGTTATTTTCAGTATTTGTCTTTTCCGTCAGTAAGAATTGCATAGAATATACATTTTTGACATTTTTTGTTTCTTCATCAATAATAACAATATGAATAGGTTTTCTATTGGTAGTGGCTCAAAGAACTTTAACTAGATGTCTAGGGTATTTTATACCAGGTCTTTCAATGTAGTGTTAATTGTAAATATAACTGTCTCATTTGTGTCTCATTTTATAGTCCTTATATGTGTGTGATATAATTATTTTGTTGCTTTTGGAATAAGTGCTAAGTGCTTTATTGCCTAATAATAAATTTGTTTGACTAGTCCGTTCGAACGAAAGAAGTCAGGAATGAGAGTGGGTTTTTTTTTTGTAAAAATATACATGGTGTATGTTTTATACAGAATTTTGAAAAGAAATCCGTCCACAATGCTGTAGATAATGAAGAATCTGTGATATAAAGTCCATTGTATATAGCGTATACCCGGTATAGATATATATATATATATTTAACATGTCTTTAACCAGTCAGAAATAAAACAAAATTCACCACAGATCAGTTGTGGTAAACTTACATGTGTTATTCTGTGTCTTCAGTTGACCCGAGACGAAAGGTTCATGTCATGTACACTTTTGATGAATATTATATATTGCATCTTCATTGGCCAAGGGAAAAAAAAGTATCTCTGAATAAAAATTAAACGGAGGCCTAGGCACCTTGATAAACACCTGACAAAAGCAATATTGATTATGAAGTTAAAAGGTAAGTAGCTTTCAAGTGTCTTGAAAAAGAAATTGTGACATTGATGATAATAAGCCAGTGTCAATACCTGCATACCATCAAAACTGTCATCCTAAGCTAATAATTCTTACAAAGATATTTCTACTCTGGAATAAACGTTCTTCTCAAAAATGCAATTTTCCTATGAAAATTTCTGTAAAGTTAACCAACTCCCCAGGAAGAAATTTGAGACCCATTTTGGTAATCAAAGCACCTTAAGACGCTTCCATCCATGAAGAGCATTTGATTCTACCATACCTGGCTATTGAGAAGAAAATATTTGTTAATTTAAGTCAATTTGACGCCTTTTTGCACTGCCCATCATCCACTGGGTGCCAGTCAATATCAACATGGGCATACCATCTAGCTGTCATCCCTTGCTCAAAATTCTAACCAAGTTTAAATATTTTCGATGGAAATTCATCAAATTATGCTCAAAAATCTATTTCGCCTATATAAACAATTGTTAACTTTACCCCCTCCCCACGGGAAATGCAAGACCCTGGGGCCATGAAATTCATAATTTTGGTAAGGCATCTTAAGATGCTTCCATCCATGAAATGCATTTGATTCTACCATAGCTGGGTGTTGAGGAGAAGTATATTGATATACGAGTCAATTTTAACCCCTTGTGGCCCCACCCATCAGTCACAATCAATATGGACATACCATATAGCAGTCATCCTTTACTCATAATTCTAAATAAGTTTGAAATATTTCCAATGGCAATTAAACAAATTTCCTCTATAATTTATAGCAAAATTTGCCCCTTCCCCACAAGGAAATTTGTGAATCCTAGGGCCATTCAATTCACAATTTTGGTAAAGCACCTTAAGATGCTTCCATCAATGAAGAGTGTTTAATTCTACCTTATCTGGTTGTTGAGAAGAACATTTTGAAATCTGAGTCAATTTGACCACTTTTGGCCCCGCCTCTCAAGCCCCTGTGGAATTGGGACCATATGAATCACCCTTTTGGTTCATCTTAGGCCAGGAGAGGTTTCTGCAAAATTTCATTGAAATCGGTGCTGGGCCCTTTGAGAAGAAGTCAAAAATGTTAAAATTGTTTACGGACACACATTACGGGAGGTGATTGCAATAGATCAACATGAGCCTTTGTCTCAGGTGACCTAAAATTAAATATTCCTGGAAGATAATACATTGTATAATCAGATGCGAAAAACATCAAACTTAAAGGAACAACCAAGAAAATACCAAACTATTGCAAAATATTAATGAAAAAAACATAGCACAGAGACAATAAAAATGACAAGATGGCATATTCTGCTTTGTCAATAACACTCACTTTGTAAATAGTAAGTGAAGTCTTACCAGTAAACAATAAGATGATTCTACTGAAATCAATTTCCAGTATTTGAGAAAAAAATATCAAAAAGTATTGAAAGTTTTTAAAATTTTATTAGATAATAGCATCAAAATGTACAAGTATTATACATATACAACACATCTCTGTTTAAAAGTCATTTAGCCTTATTATTTTCCAATGCTTTTAAATGTGCCATTTATATAAACTTTCAACTTTTCTCTCAATTCAGCATCAGCACACTAATGTATTTATTAAGAATTACACCATCAGTCTGTCTTATAAGTTCTGTCCACCATGATTATACACCAGCGCTGTTTCATTGTTAGGTAATTGTCTACCCCCTGACTTTGAAGAAATATGCACCAAAATAAATTACATTTTTGTAAAAGTTTATATGTAACAATTCATTTTATCTGACAGACAACTGTACTGTATTTATCAAGGAATAAGCCCAGTCTGCCAAAATAAAACAACTGACTCATCAAGTAGTTGTCTTGTTTTAGAGCAATAATACATTCTATATTTGGGCATTTCTACTGATTTTTAAATGCAAGGGACCTTATTGAAAAGTATGATTTATGACTGGATAAACACTACATATTAACACCAAATTCAACTTATGAATTAAAAAATATATATATAATTAAATTTTTATCAGTTTGCTTTCAACCCTACACTTAATAACTTCTATTCCTGTACTAGAATTTAATTTTTATCACACAAGTAAGGCACAGACTTCACTTTATCAAGGGGAGTAACTCTATGAGAAAAATCCTTTGGTTGCTTTAACTTAAACATATACACTGTACTTTGAAACATTTTCTTTAATATTACAATTCATTGCTTATAAACTTTACACAAGATATGATTTATGAGTATATCATGAATTTCAACAGTGTTTTGTTTTGATAAGCCTTTCAAAAATAGATAGGAAAGATGATGCCCAGCACATGTGTGAACTGAGCACTTCAAGCAATACAAAAGAGGAAAATCAAGTGAATGGCGTGCAAAACCCAAATCTCTAGGACACAACATTGAACCTGAAATGTTTGCAGACATAAACACGCCACATTTGAAAAAGCCAAAAAATAATTGACTAGTAGAGGCATCTCTCGAACCAATAGTCGCATGTTATGTTCAATGCTTCGGAAACAGAAGGATTTACAATAGTTCAACCAATCAAGAAGGACACGCATATTACAATCTGCAATCCAACATTTTGAAAAACTCAAATCAATATGGCTATTTATTTCTTTTCATTTTCGTAACATAAAACTGTCTATTAAATTACTAATGAAACAGAATGAGAAGAAAAGAATTCTTTTTAAAATGTCCTTTTTAATTCACAAACTTAATATTCTAAAATGTGATAAATTGATTTAAAAATGCATGATTTTAAATATGATCACAGGAAACATAGTCTGTTCCAGTTGAAATGAAAACATGAAAATGATATCTTGTAAGTCACTGTCATGAAGAATCTGTGTTATTATGTCCATTGTTTATAACTTTGTCAGATGATGTGTCATTTTCTTGTCCTTTAATCTCATCCTCTTCACTTTCTTCTTCATCAGATTCTTCTTCCTTTACTGCAAATGAAAAATATATAGACGTCTTCACAAAAAAAAAAAAGAGAAAAATTTTCAAACCAAAATTATGTTCACACTTTGAGAATACTGCATGCTCCCCCAGAACAAGTGCAAAACTTATTTATTCACTGAAACAAGATATCAACAGGTTTAAATAAGAATTGCATACAAAAGCTTACAATGACTTTCAGTTTCAAAATATATTTTGGCATTGCCTGTATGTGAAAAGGTCCCAGCTAGGTTGATTTTATTACTCAAAATTCATACTGATGCTGTTTACTTTATTTATCAATATGCACAGCTGATAATTTAAGATATGCATGTTTAAAAATGCCAACCAAACATATCCCCTATATTAAAATTCACTAAATATATATATCTCAGAGACAGAACCTATGTAAACCCATGCTGAAGTCCAATATATCTCAACATTCTCATGATAAATTTAGGACAAAGTTAATTATAAATATATGTCTGCATATACATTGTGCTGACATCAGTTTGCATCAAAGACAATATGTTTTTGTTTTGTAATCATATACTTGATATTTTACACCAAAAGGTAATGTAATTGTATTCAAAAGGAGTATACAAGTAATATAAACTTTATTATTTTACAATAATTGCGAAACAAGTTATGTCAACTTATACTAATCACTCTTGTTGGCCCGGATGTAAGCGTGCGAGGGGTCTTATTGTGGGAGGAAACAGGCGTACCAGGGGAAAACCCACGTGGTCAGACAGGTAACTCCTTACCTTTTCACCTCCGTTCCGGGAATCGAACCCCAGTAGGCTTGGTGAAAGGCGAGTGCGTTACCACTGTGCCACCCGACCACCCATACAAGTGTTTAGCAACATTGTTATAACTTTCAATTTTCTTAATACTACAGTGTGTAATAGTAATATCATCTTGCTTATTATCACATCACTTAATATCATACTCTATTTTTCTTTTACATATACAATGCACTGACCTTTGACTTCAGTTTTTGGTTTCTTTCCTTTTTGCTTCTGTTTTTTCTTCTGTCGTTTTGCTCGTTTCTTTGCTGTACGATCCTCTGCAGCCTTCAGGTTTTCTTCTACTTTTTGTTGGTATTCAACATCTGCTTCTTCCTGATAAACATAGGGATATTGACAATTATTAATTAAACATTTGTATACCTTGAGGACATCCAGTTGACCTGTGACATTTGTCAATATATCACAAATCTGAAGGGTCAAAATATATATGAAATAGATATGTCCTTTCAAACCCATCATTACCTTGAATTTCGAACTTATTTACTCACAAAGCAAACATATTCAAACAACAAAAGAACACCAGTGTCTGAGCAGAATCATAATCCAAACTGAAATTCAATACAATGAGGACAAAATATTAACAATAAAAAGATTTACACAGAGACTCCTGAAAAAACATACAAAGAGAAGAAGACAATGAGAAAGTGTCTTCTGCTTCATCGTCAACATCCACCATGTGAATTTTATTCAATACAAGGGAGTAATGTCACTTTCCCAAATGAGAACAAGGTATACAACAACAAAACTAATAGACAAACTAATGAGAATCAAACACAACCAGCTTCATTCCAAACTAAGAAGTTAAATATTTTTTCAATGCAATTACTATGATAACTGCAAAAACTCTACATAGTTTTCATGAACCTGCATCTCTCAAAACACTTTGTTGTGAGTTTGTCAGTTGTTGATATCTTCGATAAAAATCGTGATATTTTGAGTTGGCCCTTAAACATTAAATCATCTGCAATATGTAAATACTACAGGATGGGGTTGCAGGAATGTTGCTATTCTGAAATGGAAAATTCACAATAGGAAAATTGAAATCATCACACTTATAATAAAGCTTGGTGGAAAACTGTCAATGTTTGTTTCATTGCAGGAAAAGATCGAGATATGTTGCTGATGTAGAAGATCCTGTCATGTCCTTGATTTCCAATTCTGGTTGGCATATACAATGGACACAGTCAATATATCTCGAGTTTTTTTATAGACAAAACATCATCAATATACATCTGAAAGTGAAACTAGAGAAATTTACAAGACCTTTGTGACTTGTTTGATAAGCTCTCTGATCAATTCAGCCTCAAGTTAGACAACAGAGAGGCACAATTTGTTTCTCTTTGTATGTCAATAGTCTGACAAATGATCATACCAACAAACTTGACGAAGATGTGTTGACATAAGATCCCTATCAGGATCTTGGTATCAAACATTATTTGATCTTTATGGTTCTTTAAAAGTTGGATCTTTTCCCATATTTTCTACTGTATTTACTCTTAATTACATGAAACTCCTTCCAGTCATTGTAATGATAATCTTTAACTGCCAAATCCAAAGAGGTCTCCTGATGGCAATTTTGTTTCGTTATCAATTCTACAATCAGAAGGACCTAACTAGGAAACAAGGAACCTACATATGAAATATTGAGAAAGATCCGACCAGTATTTATCAAGAAATAGCAGCAACAAACTTGCATGGTCAAAATCCTTGATAACTGCCTGTTGGCCATTTTGTTTTGTAAGCAGTCCCAAAATCAAAACGGTACAATTAGGGAATCTATATATAAAGTATCAGAGACCCAACAAATATTACTCAAGAAATAGCAACAACAAGAATTGTGTGAGAACAGACAAAGGCGAATGATTTCAGTAGCTCTTTGTTCAACATGTACAGAATACAAGCTGATATCTATCAAACATACCCGCTTTGCTTTTTCTAAAACAAATTTTTGCCGAGCGTACTCTCTTCTCCTTACACCTCTGTAAACATGAAAATCCCCACTACCAGCTCCTGCACTGGATCCTACAATGCAAAATGTACAAAAATTACATTAAACTAACCCTGTCAGATGACAGACTAGAATTTAAAACAACCTAACATTAATGTTAGCAAACATTTAATAAGATTGTAAATTTTATCTCATTTCACTGGTAATCAAAAGTCTGAAGGATATGCTGTATTTTTACAACAATTGTGAAACAAGTTATATCAGTTTTGGCACTAAAATGGATGTGTAAATCATTCCATACATATGGTATCTTTGTGTATGATATTGGTATCACGACACCATGACAAGGATTCCATTGCATGAAAAGTAATAAGAGTCTCCATTCTTTTATTTGTATTACAGGTTTAAATTGAACTTTACAGTAGCCAGCACCTGCAAAATTTGTGAAAATTTTCTAATTTCTTTGTCATTGTCATTATTATCGTCAAAATCACAATCATCACCATCATCCTTAGAAAACCGATCAATCATGTTATTAGTTAAGATGGGCATCAGAAAATAAAAATTCAAATTCAAACTATCTACAGTAGAATAGACGTCGAGAGTAGGCACAACACGAAGCAGTTCGGGTCCAATTCATGATTTATTCGTGCTAAGAGTTGTTTACATGTTTCGGATCCAAGCGATCCATCTTCAGAACAACAATATTCAATTATTACGTCATCAATCTTGATAAAAACAACATGAAATGGTGACGTCATGAAAACAACACATTATTACTCCTTCCTATTACAATTAAATAAAACCTAGCTTACTGATCTTTAGAAAGAGGGACATTTGTATATTCAGCCATCTAGAGGCAGAACCCATTTTTCCCCTCAAACACGTGTGACCAGGTTACCACACAAGACTGGCATGGCTACAAAATGAAATTGCTTTGACAGACTGTTTATAAACCTATCTTACCCCACACATTCCTGATGAACTCTAAAGGTGCTCTTGGGTTGTATTCTTGAGATTTTTCTGCTATGACGACTTCTTTATCCTAAAAAGAAAAAAATTCACAAATCAATGTATAGATCAATTACTCATGGTTTCAAATCATATGAAGCAAAAGGGGGAAAATCAATTTTAATATAAATATATAGCCTTGTATGACAACAAAGAGCCGTTTAAGAACAACTATCTATTGATGATATAGTTCATGTCAATTATGATTAAGATGTCTTTCTTTTCTAAAATAATCAAGAGATTGAAAGAGATCTTGGCACCATAGTATATATTTTATTATTATTTACTGGATCTTTTCCTTATTTTCTCTTCTTTCCTTTGAGTTGCTCTCATTGGTTGTACTACCTGCATGTGGATTTCCTTGTTTATAGATGTTACTATAGAATTCAGAATTGACAGACAAGGTCAGTACTTATTCTTTTGTAATTACTGTCCATACCACAGGTCCTTGTTTCTTTTAATTAGAGATAATGTAGAGTCAAACACAGAGAAGGATATATAGAGATCAGCTCATGTATTCCCTTCAGACAGTTGTATGAAAAGCTACCTTAACACAGGCACTACACTAGTTGGTAATTGTACTTTTGTATATCCACATATATAATACTATATTTTTCGCGAACTGTGATGTATCACAGGAATCGGACGCTCTTTATTTGAGATATAACTATTATGCTACGAAAATATCAAGAATCAGTATTATAAAATAGCTACAATCAGCCTGTGGTTGAATCCAACTGATAAGGCTGGGAAGAGGATGTACATACGTTCCACCAATCATTTTCATTACTGCCATTTTTTAAATTACCGTCTTTTTCATCAGTTTCTCCAGCTTCAATCTTTGTAGATCTGATGCGGTCTTGGGTAGGACAACCTTTTTCTCTTCACTCGACATTTTGCAACGTCTTCTCACAGAACCGGAAATATACAATGAATCTATAAGTGAAAGCACGAACTGACTAGTACTTTCCGGAAAATGTTATTTTATGTTTGGATATTTTATAATGTATCCATACTACAGGTTGATAAAAAAATCTTCGCAACAAAAAATGTTGAGACAAAATGAGTAAACCACAAAGTTCGTTAAGCATTAGTCAAAAGGATTTACTATATGTTACTGGGGAAATTATAATGAAAATCCGTTGAAATATAATCCGCGCTCCGTACTATAATTCCAAAAAATGTGATTCAACGCGAAACTCTCGTATTAAACGAGAAGAAACCATTTTGGTGCTTTGTAAACAATAACACACTTTGTCTATTGTTTTTATTGTGGTTTCCGTTACCTGCTTTGAGGACCGAATACAAATCTCGATGAAAATCTTCGAAAATTGACATTAACGTCTTAGAAGAGGCAATTATGAAGGTATCCGTCTGACAAATTTTGTTATATCGAAGAAAATATATTCGGTGATAACATTGCACTTGATGCCTTCGGCTGAAAAGGGGGTGTTGCTCGTGCTACATACCGCACAGTAAACAGTGCTGTTTTGACAAGTTGAACGTAACACACACGTGTGCGTTTTATGTTTATGATGATTTAATAAATTTATGGTTACCTTTTGCACGATATCGCGTTGACAACGATAGTTTTGTGAATTAACATCAACGGATTTTTCTCAGTTTATCGTTATTTTTGGTCAGTACGCATATATACCGAATGAGCACGTTCGTTGTAGAAATGATATTGTGCAGAGGTACTCACATTCTTCGACTTATAGCTATATATTGCAGTGCTTTAGATGGCTTAATGTAAGAAGGAAGGATATTTCCCTATTGCCAATAATCTAAGACTTAAGACTTACAAACATGGTGGAAAAATAAAGTAGGATAGGCAGTGACTCATGTGCGATATTGACATAAACTAAATCTTTTTTTGTCTCTCTCTGTCTCTCGAATAAAATGATATGAAAATAAAAATCTTGTTTTCAGATTCAGATGGAGGGTTTTCATAAATTACACGATGACTTGGAGAAAGTTATTGAAAAAGATGATTCCAACAGTTCTATTACAACAGATTCTGATGAAGCAAAACAGGAGTTCCGAACATTCAGAGAGAGGCTGGTACACATTCTCCATACGAACAAGTTTCAGATCATTGTGGTGTGTTTTGTCATTTTGGACTGTCTTCTGGTTATAGCTGAGCTTCTTCTGGATATGAACATCGTGAATCTACCAGACCATGAAAATCACATTGCTCCTCAGATTCTTCACTACTCGAGTATTGCTATTCTCTGTTTGTTTGTTATTGAGATTATTGTCCGTATCTATGCCTATCGACTGAGCTTTCTAAAACACAAGATGGAAGTCTTTGATGCCATAATCGTCATTGTGTCGTTTGTCCTTGACATCGTGTTCCGTTCCCACGAAGGTCCTGAAAGTGGCATTGGCCTCTTGGTGGTGCTAAGATTATGGAGGGTCACAAGAATCCTAAATGGTATGAAAACAGAAATCTGAATACCTAGCTATATATATCAGCAACTTCACTTTATCCAAGTAATTATTGTCATATTTGTGAAAATGAAAATCTGCAGAAGCAATCACAACAGGCTGGAGGTTGTTTCTAGTATTTTATTAGCTACCAGTTTTGTGCTAAATCTTTGGCTAAATCAGGACACAGTATCTTAAATTTCAATTTTAACAATACTATGTCCTGATGAAGCCAAAGTTTAAGGGCAAAACTTGCAGACAATACCTAATAAATTATAAGAAACTTCCTCTAGCCTGTGGTGACTGTTTCTCTGAATTTTAGCTCAACCTGTCACATTAACCCCCAGTATATCCTCGGGTATCTAGGTGGGAGGCCTAGGACCGATATCCCACTTGGGCCATTTGTGAAAATTGGTTCAAAATTTATTATAATCCCCTGTTGATGATCTTACTTTGAAGACATACTATCATCACAGTTTGAGACTCAGTGTATTAGTTCATAAGAGAATATTATTTCATGATATTACTCAAAATTATTTCTGTAAAAATTTATCTGAATTATGATTGATCATTCACAAAAATAAAGTTGCTCATATTTTAAATGTAAAACACAGACTAGCGATGTGCGAGTATACTGTTGCAGTAATGTTGCACAGGTCATACAAAATTTTGTGTATGGATTATAACTGCTTATTATATTGACATCTAAATTACAAAATTTAGTATGGTAATCCAATGATATCATTTTCACGATTACAATTATTTGTAATCTTCTGATTGGTAATGGCATAAGTAGGTGGTTTCCATGATTTTAAGACCATATACTGTAAGACGGAAGTGTATTTACAGCTACACATAACTTAGTTTGTCTCAAATAAAGCAAAATCTTGAAAAAAATAGCTATCATACAGTATTTGTAGGATCTGGGATGAAGAACTTTGTGTATCTATATGAATTAGCAAGTTTTCAGGCAATTGTTTATAAATCTTTATGTGTTTGAAAAAATATGTTTATCATTATTTGAGTGGGAAATTTTTTTTTTTATTTATAAAGATAGATATCAGCAGTTGATATTTAGAAGTTTTAGAATTGTAGTGTCTTTTCTGCAGGTATTGTGATGTCAGTGAAAAAACAAGCAGAGAAGAGACTCTTGAGAGAGAGACGACTACGCCAGGCTTGTGAACAGGAACTTACAAAATACAGAGAGTATTGTTCCACACAAGAACAAGAAATTGAAATTCTCCGGGGAATGTTACGGAAACATGGTATTGAGGATGCCAACAGACTAGACAACCAGCCAGTTGTAATAAGTACGATTGATGTTGTCGCAGAGGTTAATCAGGTATCAGACAAAGCATCAGAATCAGGCGAGGAACTGAGCTCAGACAAACGCACAGAAAACTCCAATGGGAGTTGAGTCTGTTGACCAAATTGAAGAATTTTTTAGAAGGAGCATTTGTCTGATAATGATGAGATTGAAAAGAAATTTTAATAGAAAATGTGTAACAATATTGATTGATGCTATTTTTTTGATGGCAAATGGTTGTAATTGTATCGGAATTTTATATGTACATTTGTAATTTGACAAATTTGTATTTGTCACCATTTAATTGGTATTATGCACTTTTTCTGTATTTTTTTGTACAAAATGACAGATTGTTTCTTATCCCGAAACTGAAATGTATCAGCCTTATATAAAATGTAACACTGTTTAAAAGGATAAATATAGGTAAATCTTCATGAAATCATAGAGAAAATTTGGGAAAAAATCAGATTAAATTTGGTGTATTTTCTTCACTCTTTGAGACATTAAGAGTGAGCTATCAGTCTTTATATACACTGCAGACAAGATTTAGAACTTTTCTTCGTTAATTTTTAGTAGAGGTTGTACAAAAATGCAGTGTTTCCATTTCCAGTATTTTTATAAACTATTCCTGTATAAACAACAATGACAATGGGAATTGAAGTTCAAAGCTGAAATATTATCACTGTAGTAACTGAGATAATTGATTTCTGCTTCATGCCATCCCTGGTAAATTCCTTCCTTCTTAATATGTTAAACAGTATTTGTTATTTGACTTCTTTGTTGTAGTGATTGTACATGACTCCAAAGGTAGAATTTATAGAAAAATGTCTTTTCAAAACTGTTCCAGGTTTTAATATCATAATATTGTGTATATTTCTGCCTTGTGGACGGTATTATGATGTTTCCATTCACTCAGAACTTAATTCAGATTAATTTTGAATCTTTTTTGAAAAACTGAGGTAAAACATCCTACAAAATGCATTTTGTTCTGTTTAATTTATTAAAATAATTATAACATATAAAAATTGATATATCACAAAATGAAATTTATAAAATGTTGAGAAGAGAATTGAAATCAGGCATATTCACTTAATCAGTTGTATATTTAAAACTTTTCTCATCCTCTTCCTTTTATTTCACAATGCTGCCTGCTGTGTAATGATTCTTCCTCCATTTCTGTATGAATTTTTGAAATCTGAAAAAAATATCTTAATTTAATGTTATACATTGTAGTAACACAAAATGAGTTTAAACAATATTTTATTCAAATTTCAAAAATATTTCACATACATATACACATATTTATACATAGGATGGGAAAACAAGCCCAACCCCCAAAGCATTGATGTATATATAATGAATTAGATCTGTTTAACAGAATTGTAGATGATTCAGCATTTATGAGATGTATACCCAATTTTTTTTCTGTTATTATGAATCTTCAAATGAAATAGAACAAGGAAATACCTCAAAAAGCAGCCCTCCCCATACGTACATATTCATTCTCCTGGCTCTTTTTACATATAGATTGTACATTTTTACATAATGATATGTTGTGATTTTTAAACTTTGAATTCGAAAGCAAGAATAATTAGCTGGAAACTGGACCCAGAATGGATATATTTGAAGGTGTCCTTTTAAGATTTAAAGGACATTTTGTTTATATTAAAATGCGACAATATAAATCCATAGAGTGAAAATGGAATTCGTCCTTTTTATTGTTTGTAAAACTGTTCGTGTAGTGCAGGCTCATTTAGATGTTAAATATTCTCATTTTGAACTGATATTAATTTTGTATTTTAGATAAGTGTTTGTCTTACACTCACTACAGCTTCTAGTTTGAATCTCTGGTTCCTTATCTGTTAATATTTTACAAACTCCTGTTTCTGACAAGACAGGTATATCTGAAATACAAAGCAGGCTCATTGTTCAATAAGATTAGTTGGGATGTATATGTAAGCCCGACATACTTCTTTTTTTATATTTGATGAAGCAATGGATAATCAATAACTATGAAACCAGCAAACTACTTCAGACTCCAATTTTATTGAAATAAGCAAACAAGGCCATATTTTTGGTCATAATCCACTGATCTGTGTCAATTGCAGGTCAATGAATATTCTAAGAAAACTGCATCGTTAGTTGGTTATGAATTTTTTAATTTGTCTTCATGATTTTTTTCGAATTCATGTCGCTACGTGTGTTGCCCCACTGACTAATATCAGTGTTTTAGCCATATATAACAAACACTATAACAGTAATCCCACCATTTAAATTAGATCTGAGTTTCTATGTTAGCTACCTTGGCTTAGCACTGGTTAAATATAGTATCTAATTATCCTATATCTTGGAAAAAAGTTTTGTGAATTTAAATCTGCCTCAGATTATCTTTCGTTATTTCTTCAAAGGGCATTTCTGGTAAAATTATTCCCTACGTGTATATGTTGTTTATTATTTACCTTACATAAAGCATAGATTCTCATATTTATTAGTTGTGGTTTTAACAAAGATGAAATATTTATACAGTGTACATATATAATTTGTTTTAAAGTTATTATCAAGCATTCTTTATTGTGGTAAGTTTTTATATATACAACAAAGGATTTGGGCACAAGTTACTTGAACATTACAGATATGCAAAAAAAACCAAAAAAAAACCTGATTGATTGATAATGGCGATTTTAACTGCCTGAAGTATATTCTTTGAAATTCTTGAGTATTTTTCAGTCTCACAATAAACCATCATGCAATGGTAAGCTTATCGTTAATATGATAATGGCTTGAATAAGGTGATTCCTGTTCAGTTAGATAAATGTGTTGATTGGTTTGTAGTGCAGACAGACTGAGAGGTTGTACATACAGATGTATGTAGTAGAAATCATTACTTTAACCAGTCCCTCTGCTAATGAGGAATTGGACATTGGACCTCCGGCTTACTAGTCTAATGCTTCATTTGATTGAACGAAAAAGAAATTCTTTCTAGCCGTGTTATTAGGAAGCAGCTAGTTGTCTTACAAGGATGACCTGCTCCCCTCTTTAGGAAAGAATATACCCTTACGTTTTCCAGGTAACAGTAATGCTTTGGAAAGAAATGCTGTGTGTTTTTGTCAAGTTTCTATATGTGAGTGCCATTATAACAGAAAGATTTGGAAGGGATGAAATCCAGGACTTCTGTTTTATTTGTCTAACATTCTATCTATTGGAACGAGAGAAATTTCTCCCTAGCTGTATCAGTTGGTATCAAGGGATGACGCTTTACCATATTGTAAAGAAAGTGACAGTGATCCTAGTAAGGCCTAGCATGATCTTGAAATGAACATTTCCAAAAATAGAAGTTAACTTTGTAAATTTAAAGTTCTTGCATGAAATGTCAATTACAAACCCAGTATATGTATAGATTTGAAAAAGAAAAATATATATTGCAAATTCAAATTGAAGTTTTAAATGTTTTATTTATGTAACAAAAAAAGAAACTAATTCAATTGAATTAAGTACAAAAACTTTACATATATTGTTTTTGTTATTGCAGATACTGTATCTCTCTTCTTAATGAAAAACTGGTGTTCTGAAATGAATATGAAAAGAGATGGTTTCATAGAAGGCAACAAGTCTTTGAATCACTGATGATATAATTTTTTTTCAATGAGATTGTAAGTAAACATCTTAATTATGTATATATATTAAGATGTTGTGACTAATTATGTTTGTTAGTTACACATTGATGCCATAAATTTGCCAAAATTCACTTTAATATTTGTCCTTTTTGTACATCCATTCTTGAATAGATTTTCATAATGTATCTTCACTGCAGTTTGTAGGGTAGTTGTATAGAAAGTTTAAAACAAAAAATCTGATTTCTGTATATGCTGTTTGGTCACCTGGTCCACTGTGCTTAAACTTTTACATTGTGAACTTGTTCTTAATTTCCATCACTGGAATTGGGGTGAAACTTGTCTGAAATGATCCTGAGATGATACTGACCAAGTGTTTTCGGATTATTCCAAGATCCAAAATGGCTACCATCTTTGAAAAAAAATAGTTTTAAACTTATGTTCCACTGATGAATTTAAGCTGAAAATTGGCGGGGATGTTAAGGACAGGGAACAAACAAAATATTATCATTTTTTTCCTTGTCAAAAGTTGAACATGTCAGCATTGACAGCCATTTTGTAACATTATGGCACAATTACGGTTTCTCTGAACAACTCCTATTTTTGACATTTTCTTATGTTTCACCAGTAGGATTCATCTGAAACTTTCCTCAAATAATCCTGAGATCGCTCTAACCATTTCAATGAAAGTGTTGTTATTTTGAAGGTCAGTCAGAAATCCAATATGGCCGCCGTCTTAAAAAATGCATTTTAAACTCCATTTCAAGTTATAATTCAGCAAATGAGCTGAAATTTTGTGGGAATAGAATGAGAAGTATATTTTGTCAATACTGCTAAAATACTCTCAATCATTTACTAACTGTCCTGCTACTTCCACTGCTTTGCAACCTTCATGCGTAGTCAGATGACTGTTAAAGCTCATGTGCCTCTTGTTCATGAATACTAGGGATCCAGATTTGAACTGAAATAATAAGATGATATTAAAAGTTGAAATCAGTCAGTTGATGGCATTTGATAGAGAAGTCTGAATCATTGCCACAAAGGAAAAGAATTTGAATTTTAAACACATTGATATTGTATCACCCATATTCATAGGTTTGCCGTGAAACTATCGCAGTGTATTCTAGTTAAAGTTACTATTCATTTACAACAAGCGTCCGAAATGTTTCATGTTGAATTGGATCATAGAAAAAATTGGGATATTTATGATACCTGCAATTCTTGCTTGCATTGTTAGAAATAAATAATCTAGATTATGCAGTGTCCTTGTTTCAGACCTGGATGTAGCAGTTTCTGGAGCACATTAAATATGTTTCCAGAGGCTTTTCCAACAAGTATAAAATCTACACTGTTATCAATCTTTGCAGTCATGAATAATTGCAAAAGTCAGTAGGATCAGAATTTCGACACTTGTTTAAAATCACATGTAGCAATCAAGTTTAGTAATTTATGTATATATATGCATTATCTCTTGAAATCAAACTACAGCACTGTGCCATATACAAGTATATATATCAGTAGTGTTTGGTCTTAGTATGATAAACTTGAAGGCCTAGAGCTAGGTACATACATAGATTAGAATTGATTTTTGGTATATTTTGATAATTTTAATGGCAACTGTTGTATAAGACTTGGAATCTCTTAAACTCAATCCTATTTGGAAAAGAATAAATCTCCAATCCCCTGTATAATCGCTTTTCAATTTGACTTACTCCCTTATTCCTTGCAGTGGAAAAAGGAAAGGCACTCATGTGAAAGCTTCTGTGTGCTGGCCTTGAACTTTGTCAGTAATATGCAGAGTAAAGAGCCTGGTTGACAGGGTTTCAATTTTCATATGGTCAAAGACTCCAAATGTGTTTGATCAAACATTTTTTTATATTCTTTCCTATATTGTTTTTGGAGGGATACACTGTTAAAAATATGGACTGAAAGAACAAATCGCTGTACTATTACTGAAACTAATGAAAATTACTCTACAATATTCAAAATTCTTTGAACTCTTAACACGAGAGTGCCTTGAAAGGTTAATTGTAATGGATACGTACAAATAAAATGTAAATCTGGTCATTTTGTATGTAAATTTTACATGTATACCATATGTAGTTGTTAGATTATTGATACGCCGGGATATTGAGTCATGGAGGAAGATGGATTGGTGCAATGGGAGGGTATATTCACAGCAGAACGATGTGTATTATGAATAAACATTGATAATAGGTTTGCCTTTTTGTTTTTATTTTTCATTTAAACACAACTTCAATGAAACATGGAGTTATTCAGTGGTTAATAAGACAATTTTTGATATATTATTTTCTGGCAGATATAGTTTTTATACGCCCGTCGAAAGACTTACGTATTATGGTATGGCGCTGTCCGTCCGTCCGTCCATCCGGCATCCGGCATTCGTCGTAAACTTTTATTTGTCCGCAGATCTTCTCCTACATTTGTCAGCCGATCTTTATGAAACTTGGTAGGCTTAATCACCATGATATGAAGTTGTGTTTTCCTGAACGGGCTTTTGATTTGGTGATTTGAACAAGAGTTGTGGCCCTTTGTTTATTTCACTTTAGAAATCTTGTCCGAAGATCTCCAACATTTTTCAGCCGATCTTTATGAAACTTGGTAGGCATGATCACCATGATATGAAATTGTATTTTCCTGAATGGGGTTTTGATAAGACGATTTGAATAAGAGTTATGCCCCTTTGCTGTTTTGGATATTCACGGACGTATTTTGTTTCGCTGTGCAGTACTCTTGTTAAAAGTAGATAAAATCGTCAGAAACCTTTGGATTATTCAATGGTAAGAATGTGAATGGGAACATATAAACAAAAAATCTATTTCAATTTGAAATTGATGAAAGGAAGTCAAAATATCAACAAAGTGAGCATTAAGTCACAATTTCAACAAAGACTATTGAATAAGAAAATAAAAGGATAATAGAATCGGATGTACAGGGGGAGGTTAGGTAGTGGATAATTAGTGTCTTCTGCCTCGATAGCTTCTGCCATATAAACATAGGTCAAAGAAAAGAACAGATAATGTCATGCTCTCAATGTGACAACTGGGGTACTGATAACAAAATCACCATTTGCACTAACTTAGCAAAGATACATTCATCTGTTGATTAGTTTGGTGTCCAAGCGCCTTGTGATCTATAGATCTATATCTATAGATATACATGCACGTTGCTATGAACCTTGTGATCATTTTCAGAACGTTACTGTTTTCGGATTGATCTCTATTTACTCGAACACTGTTGTCAATGAAGGAAAAGTTGCTTACCCACTCAGAATTTTCAGAGGTTATCCTGTAAATGTTTTTCTTCTAAAATCTAATGAAGTCTCTCTTTAATTTCAATGACGGTTAACTATAGCTTGTCTTCAACATGATTTGATCTTAAGATGGACACTTTTTGCAAAGGTCTCAATATGAATTACAATTTGTAAAACTGGTAATTTTGAGTAGCAGATAAAATATCTTACATTTTCAGTGTTCAATTTAAACACAGAATTTGTTTTTCTGGCCCATATGTAAAACTAATCACTCCTGAAAATTAAGTCAGTAACCATATAATTTTTATATCCTCCAGTATTGATAGTAATCCGTTTGTCTTAAGCTATGGGCCTAAATTGTTTGAGACTAGGAACCGACTGAAGAATAGGAGTTGGTCGGAATAAAACAAACACTATGTGGGGAGGTACAGTGACACCAAAATTAAATACTATTTAATATATTGAGAAATATCTAAAGTTCTGAACCGGCGAAAACCAGAGTCTTAAGTCCATCAGCAACCTATTCCTTTGTACCAAGAAAACACGCACCTGTTAAAAACATGATGGATTCATTTTCGTGATCATTCCGTCATTGGAAAGCATTGCTACAAACCGAAAGAAGTACGAGGGAAAGTTCCGTATCATTAGTTTTCTTAATGAGAAATTTAAGTTCTCGTTCTTTCTTAAGAAAGTGTCTCGGTACATAAATACCTCTGAATTGTTACCTCTGATTATATCATAATCTTTTGTCTGTATTGTTTAATGTCCTCGTTATATGTTTATGATACAAAAGAACAAGAAAATACCAACCTGTCAACATGATCATAATTCGAACTACAATTCCATGAATGTCAGGCAAAAATGTCAACAAAATTACACGAAGACTCCTAAAAAAGCACAAAGATATTAAGACCAGGTGTTCGGAAGGTTAAGCGTCTCCTGCTTCATAGCCGACACTCGCCATGTAATTCAAAACTCGTTTTCAAGAAGGCCCGAGTACGTGTTTATGTATACACAAACTACACGTGTTACCGGTACGTTTGAACCGTAATCGTTATCTAAAGTCACACGGTTGTTTGCTAACAACGTGTGACACCAGGATAAGGGTTAAATCATGGGAATATCATATATACCCATCTGATATGTCACATACGGCTACACAGGGGCTAGTTATCGTCCTAGAAGTGATTCGGGATAATTTATATATATAAATATTCTACTAGTGATAGATATGTTAGACTTACAGATAAACATTTGGCCCCTGTGTTCAGATGCAAATATTATCGAAGGCTGCACATGACCACTAACCGATAACCTTTATCATATTTATATATATAAAGGCTTCTGACGAAGTACAACACAAGGATTCACAATGAGGAACATTGCCGCAATAGTTGTCTGTGTATTTTTGGGGACGGTGTATGGCCAGATTCCCATCCCTAGTAAGCCACTAGGATTTACTTATGGATTGGGGAAAACCTCTGCTCCTATACAGCTTTCAGCTTATTTAGGACCGCTGTGCCCCGACAGTCAAAATGCCTGGCCAAATCTCCTCAAAGTAGCAGATTACTATGGTGCAGACAGGGTCCGATTTATTACACATCTGTTCCCGTTGCCTTACCATAGAAACAGTTTCCTGGCTGCAAAGGTAAGTTCGTCGGATATATTTGATAACCTGTGATCGGATGATCGATTTAATTAAAATTTTATTTGGATAATAGTATCAAAAGGATATAAGGCAAACTAGTGAATTTCTGGTGACATGATTGTTCTAATGCTCTTACGAAATATAATCAACGTTAATCAATTATCATAATTTGAACAATGTGCCAGCGACCCTTTGAATTTTCAACTTGTAAAAACGATGATTAACTTCATATAGCAATGTTTAAGTTTCATGCTGGAAATCAAGTCTAGGCGCTCTGACGTCGTCTTGGGAGATGGCCCAAGGAACAGCGAGGGAATCAAGTTAGGATTATTTTCTCACAATGTCTTCACTCATATCCATTAGGTTTACTGTTGCAATATTGCCATTGTGTGTTGACATCGGTTTTCGTTGTATTCGTTTATTCTATATCCGCTTAGTTATTTTAAAGATGTTCATGTCGGAAAACCGGATGGCATCTATTGTTGTGAAAAGAAATCTATACTAAAAACGGATTATTCGCTATCCTAATTTGTTTCTGAAATACTGTAAATCACATAGATTTCGCGAATATTTTATTTCGCGAATTTACCTCTCCAGACAGAATCGCGAATACAGGATTTCGCGAACGCTGATCTAGAAATGACTTTAAATTCGCGTATGATGTGCTATTAGAGACCAGGACGCCGATATCGGTAACCAAATCAACATGAAAGCCATCCAGAGTTGTTTTCGTACAAATAATCGGGAAGGATTTGAAGTCGCGATGGACTCTCCACATATATTAACGCGAAAATAAATCCCACGTAAAATACAAGCGATTTACAATACTGTCTTATACATTAGAAAACATTGGATGAAAATATGTTGACCTTTCTGACGTCTACTTGTGACCTAATATGGAACCATAATACACTCTTAGATTGATGGTTTTGTGTTATTCTAGGGAGCACAGATTGTTGATGTATTAAGCACAGGAAACTACACATACCATTGGATTGGTGCCGTATATGATAATATCGAAAAATTTTCTAATGACGTCACACATGATAAAACAGAAAAAGACGTGCAAGAGTAAGTAAAATAATGACAAAAATATAATTATAATAACGACATTTATTTGTGGGGGAGGGAATCAAATCACATGTAATATAAATTATGTTTACAAAATTTACGAAGGCACAGAAAGAAATTAATTAACAATAAGACATTTGCAACGAGACATTGCTATATCTGTGTGACAATAGTTAATGGGTTATCAATATTATAAACGATATAACTCGTGCGGAACAGCTATGTCAGAAAAATAAAAAGGAATGTATGAATTTAGTTTCATAAATAAAGCGGAAAAAACAGCAATATACTTACCTTACAATATTCATTTTATTTAACACAGCTTGTTCGCATCACTCGCGACCAACTTAAAACTTAGTGGACCCAAATTCAACGATATGTACAAAGACTCTGCCATAGAGGAATCCACTCGCCTGGATTGGAAGTACACCGCGACGAGTAAGTACATCAAACCATACACATAATAGTGAAAATACGTAAAGTTGTCGACATTTTATTACCAGGAGTCATTAAGACAGTTTAGCTTAATATACTGTGACGCATAAATACACTGAAATTACACGAAAGTATCAACACATTAGCAAAGTCGTGGTTCCAACGAAAAAATGTGAGGTTAACTATGAACAAAGATTTACAATGAAAATAGTATCATTTGATTTGTCTCGGAATGGTAAGCGTCTTTCGCTTCATTTGTTTCGCATATGGGATCGTGAAATTACAATGAAACCCATTTTCTACCAGCCAGTATTGTCTTTTCTGTCAGCAGTCGACAGCTAACCCAGATATTTGAAGCAATCTTAGCTTTGAGAAAACTGTTGTATGTCACCAACATAGATGGGAAAACAGGGATTTTGCTACATATGAATGGAAAGGCCACCGTAAAAATGAAATCATTCATCTTTGCGATACGTAAGCTTGTCGCTACGATTGAAGGAAAGATAAAATTAGGCGGCTAAAATGTATGCAATGCCCTTTAATATCACATGACGTTCATAAAAATATACGTACACGGTAAGTGTTAGACACTGTCCAACTTCTGTAACTTTAATGCAAAACTCAGAACTTTAGCGAGAACTTTATTTGTTATATGCGTTGATAAGTCACTTGTTCAAGTTTCTGTACAATATGAATACAAACCCATGACGACATAGAGAGAAATTTTCTCTCCTTTGAAAATATGTTGCGAATGAATTATCATGATTAAATGTTAGAAAGATACCTTGCACCTCTCAGAATCATTTTCGACTCTTAAAAATCTACAATGAAGATAACTTACAAACAATAAATGGTTTATAAAATATATACTTGATCCAGACAAGTAAATTATGGATAACCCGCTTGAATTGAGTGAGTATAAGATTAATCTCCCTTTGTACAGGAGGGGTAGCCTGGACTCCCGCCTTTATGATCAATGACGTCATGATTCAAGCAGAACCAACATGGACACTCGACGACTGGAAAAAAGTAATCGACGGTCTTCTTGGAAGGCAACAGGAACAGGTACGTATAAGACATTTGATGGGAGATGTAGATCCAATATCTACTTCTTCTTGTAACGTTAAAAGGTTATGAAATTCTAATAAGTCTTGGCTTTTAACATTGTATTGTTTTAATTCATTAGAATAATGACACGGTTCAGAATGTACATATGTTATTGTCGTCCTCCTGAATTCATATATTTATAGAAATAATGCGCTCGGTTCGTAGTCGCCTCTTAGGTTTTAGAATTTAGGCATTTATCTTCACTATCGAGACCAGTAGAAGTGCATTAGAACTTTAAAAATTAGGATAAATCGTGATATTTCTCTGAAATATACAGATTCGTAAAGGATATGCTGCTATCACGATACCCATATATTTTTTCTGAAAATCCTTAATATAAAAAACCAATTTACTTAATGTTTCCGAAAGTTGTCCGCAACACACGATCGTTTGGTAATATGTTTGACCATAAATCTATTGATTTTCATGACTTAATATTTTTTGGTCCAAAATCTGTGATAAAACAATCCTAAGCTTCCGGATATTTCTACTTCCTAACATCAATCAAAGTAGCCAACATCAATTATAATATGTCATTCGATAGATGAAAAAAGGATAAAAATGCAGCTTTATGTTAAATATGCAAACACAGGTTAAAATGGAACAGAAATATTCACGTTGGTTAAAAAACAATCATGAATTCAAAAGTCTCTGTCAGTCAACAGAGAATCCACAAAAAATTATATCGATGATTTTAATGTATTAGAAGATTTTTTTTGTCAGCAGCAGTTGTTTACTTCATTATCAAATATATTTTTAAAAGGTACCTGTAAATTTTCACAGGTGGTCTCTGACATATCATCAACCTGTAAAGTAGGAACCAAGAGATGTGAATACCTGCCTGGGAAAATTGAGTGTTGTACTAAAGGCGAGGCATGCATTCCAAATGTTGGCTGTCGGTGTTAGATAATTAACAAATTATTCATCCTGGTTATAGAAGATATCTTAAGGTGTTGAATACTGTTGTATGAAATGTTTATATAAGAAATGGAAACTGTTATAAAATACGCAGATAGCAATTTGAACACCTTTTGTTTGCTTTGAAGTCCAAAAGTTGACGAACATTGATACAGTTATAAAAATTGAGAAAAAGAAACTAAATATATATAACACTTAAATTTCTCGGGCGATAGCCCGTAGGTCACTATAAAGTCATTATCTTTCATGGGGGTATTTTCGTTAATTTCATGGATACCCAATTTATCCACGAAAACGAGTATCCACAAATTTTTTTTTCTGAAAGTTCACGAAAATAGGACACCACAAAAATATATGATCCTGCAGCTTCACAAAAATCATTTAAAACGTTCTGGTTGTATTCAATGTATATTACAAAAGCTGCATTTTAAGAGTCTTCTGAAATTAATGCAGTAACTGTTTACATCTATATTTACTTCACCCTTCATTGTTTTGTTTTTATATTTAACATATTTTGATTTCCAACTAACATACTTGATCAATAAAGTCAATACCCAACTGCATGTTAACGTTTGTATTTAGCAACAAAACAATTTACAAAAAAAGGTATTACCGAAGAACGATGGAGGTGTGCAATATATTATTATGAAATTATAGGCAAGACTTATTTTATAACATTTTGCTTTTAAAATGTTAGAATACAATTAATATAGAGTTGTAAAGTTTTCTATGTGATTTTTCACGTAAATATATGTATATATTTTGAAAAGTAATAGACACGAACAGTTGAATCCAGAACTGTTAACAGCCAAAATGTACAAAATGCCAGTACACTGGTGATTGTTGTGGACAGATGTCAAGAAGCCAAATAAAAATTTACAATATACGCTAGTCATTGTTTCTTGGGAGTGTCCAATAAATCGGACGAAGAAAATAAACGGAACCATGAAATTGTATTGTGGACAGTTTTCTACCAGTCGGCATAAGAATGACGTTTTAAATTACTCGATCGTAAACACACTCGACAATAGTGATAATATATATACATGGCTTACAAACATCACTACTTCCACGATATGACAGGACGATCACGATGACAGGAAAAGTACACAAGTCAGCCTTAAGAAGACTGGACTGGAACCCTACTACCACCGTGATCTGATTGGGCCATATTCTGTTTCCTTTTTTGTGATATAAATGTCGATGCTTTTATTACCATCATATGTCTTGTAATACATGTACCTCGGGTCATCGCTATGGTTTCACTTAGGTTTGCATGGTGGAAGTCATCAACAAAACTAAGAGTATTTATCTTTAGGAGCCCTTCATTATCAGAGCACTTTTCAAGACTTCCTTTAAACGCATCTCTATGTTATAGTTAAGTGCTGCATTTATCGATATTGCATTCATAAATTCGGTTTTGTTTATCACCACTTTTTTGTTCTTTGATTTTACTTAAAATGGAGAAAATATTTATATATATATTTGTTTTAAAACTGTTTATATATTAAAATATTTCATAAAAAATATTTGTAAATAAAACACATTCGTTTTAAGGAGTACAACATCCATTTTATTGTTAATTATACAATTATATTGAAGTCCATATATTGAGATCGAGATGAACTGGTAAAAATGTGTGTAAAAAAACAATGTTTTTTATGCTCTGTATGTCATTTCTACTCTCACCACTCTACTTAAATTATATTCAGTTTTTAATGACACGAGACATAATTATTATTCATGTCTAAACGGATATACTTATTTGAATTCCAATACCGTAAAATAATTTTTGTGGAGGATTTATTTTCATTGATTTCTTGGGTACTCCACTAATCCATATGTCTTGTTAAGATATATTGCTTTATACTTATTTATCCAGGATCAAAAGTATCCACGAAAGTAGTATTTAGGAAGAAAAAATACACGAAAATTGAGCCCCGCGAAAATATATGATTTTGCAGTAATATATAATGAAACATACATCTGTCTTTTATGTGCAATCCAAACATTTTTCACGGATAATATAACACATGATTGACATATTATGTCGATGTGATATTCACCGTAACACTATCATTGTCAGAAGTAGCACAAACACATGTTTGAAAAAATGCCGTACTTCACATGGTAAATACTTGTCCACCGGGAAATATACCATTATTTCCAATAAAATTAAAAGGTTCTCCTATGATATTGAATCCGTTTCCAACAGGAGGAATGAATGTATTTCCTATTTGGTCCGGAAATGACAATCCCGGAAACACATTACCATCGAAAGGAGACGGGGAAAATCCGTCACCTTGAGGAAATCCTCCAATCGGTCCTGGAAAATTGAGTGGCTGCGGAAAACTGTTAAACTCGGGAAATTGTGGCCTAGGATTAAAGATTGGAAATCCATTGTCAATAAATCCATCTTGTTGGACGTTGAAAGGAAATGGTTCTGGCTGGTTAAATTGGAAACCGTTTCCCGGAAAATCAACACCTCTTTCGAAATTAGGACCACCTTGAAAACCCGTATCTATTGCAAAATTCTGATCAAATCCAAAATTCGGTCCAGCAGCAAGTCCATCAATGCCCATATTTTGTGGAGAAGTGTTTTGTCCAAGACCATTTGTATTAGCTCCTGGTCCGTCAAAATTTGCTGCAGCTGCAGCTGCTGCTGCCGCTGCGGACGGAGTCCGGATTCGTGGATCGTTGAAATCAAGACCAGCAGCAAAACGACCCTCGACAGAGTTGAATGCCGGTATTGCTGGCATAACAGCAGGCGTATCCAAAGGTCCGCCGCGATTGACGTTGGGGTTGTTCGTTAAAGACGATATAGTACCTGAGGATAGGAAATAAATGTCAATCAGAATTAAATGTGATATAAAGCGAAATGTCACATTGACAGAATTCTTTCCCCAAAAAATGTCTAAAATTCTGTTAATGTATTGACCGATATGGTATTACATTTAAATTGTATATCGATATAACTTATATAGGAGATCAAAAAAGCAATACTCACTACATTTCAACATGTAATTACACGAAACCCAAGTGTCAAGAGGACCATCACGGCCATCAAAAGAAAAGGCATTCGTACTTCAATTATTGTAAATATACATTCCGTCAATACTATACATGTATGTGAGAGTCTAATGTCATGCATCATAAAACGAACAAAAATGTGTACTAAGAATGATTGAGTTATGTCGGAAATTAAATATCGTGCCATGAAACCAAAAACAGAGGAACAATGTATATATGCATTTGTTAAAAACACAAAGTTACTGGACAAAACCCCAAAGACGTTTTGGTGCCTGCTTGTACGCCGCGTGCCAAAGACTCAAATAATGTTCTATTAGCGTTGTGTTACCTTGACCTTGGTTTACATTGTTGACGGTCTGCATAGATCGGAAGCCATTACCAACATTGGTAGGTACCATACCACTCTGTGGAAGGTTGGCAACAGCTGCACCACCACCTTTAAAATAAGGTCAGAACTCGACAGCAATAACAAAATATATAGGAAATATAAACAGAAAAATAATTTGTAATCATATTTCATTTATCTGGATTAGCCAGTCTTTTTTTTAAATGTAAATGAGATATCATCTTCACATCACTGAACATAAACAGGTCATTAAAGAGAAGGAAAAAATAAATATGAGACTACAACTTTAAATTCTACCATTTTCCAGCACCACTTATACCAAATGTTGTGGTGACAATTACTGAACTGGATTTTTTTGGTAATCTGTTAAAGAGTTATTAAGAAATCGTACATTTTAGTTATTTTTGGCATTACGTGTGGTTAAACAATGATCGATTCGACAAAATCGCCTTGGATCTCCGAATGTTTTTATATCAATAACGCCTCCGATTCTTTATATCTTAATTACACACTTTAGTGCGAAGAAGTAATAATATATACTAAACTGTTATTATTCTTATTCATATATACTATTATTCCATTAAACACATTTAGAAACTAAATTACTTTTCGTCTTCATATCTGAGTTTTCAAAACGAAAGTAATCTATTGCTGTATATAACATGATTGCTTGTATGATAAATTAAATAAATTTAATGAAGTAAATCAGACATTTTACGAAAATCTTACAATGTATACGTCTTCCTAAAAGATACTGAGTTAAAGTGCATATATGTCATGTACAAATGTTATGCTGGCTTTTGAAACAATATATTCAGATTCTTCAACACATCAGCTGAAAGTTGAGTACGGCAAATTTGGTCATCTCATTTTCGAAGCATTTTGATAAATTTACGTTCGTAAAACAATTATTTTTTAATCTTGATTTGAATGCACATCGTAGAGAAAATGCAATGAAATATTCTTGAATACTACAGGTTTACGTTGAAACACAATAAGAACTATAATTCATACTTGCGGAATTGCTGTTTTGCTGCACCTGTACTTGGTTGGGCATTTGTTGTCCAAATTCATTGAAAGCCAAATTATTTGTTTGAGAGCTAGGATTTCGTACAGATACACTAGGCGGTTCTGGAATCTGTGGTATGACGGGAGGGAAAGGGAGAATCCGTGCAAGCCCTCGTTGCTGAGTGGCCGGATTCTGCTGGTTGGCTGACGCAGCATTTCGGAGAAGAATTTGTCTTTGTAAATTTTGGACTGCAGCTGATCTAGCAGTGAAATCTACATTTGGCATCACAGCTGGTCTAACATTGAAATTAACATTAGGCATTACAGGTGACCTATCAATGAAATCAGTATTTGGCATCATAGATGATCTTGCATTGAAATCAACATTTGGCATCACACCTGGTCTCATATTAGCATTAGCATCAATATTTCGGATTATAGCAGGTCCGACGTTCCCATCACTATTTGGCATCATAGCAGGTCTAACGTTAGCGTCCATATTTGGCATCATAGCAGGTCTAACGTTAGCGTCCATATTTGGCATCATAGCAGGTCTAACGTTAGCGTCCATATTTGGCATCATAGCAGGTCTAACGTTAGCGTC